CGGGCCGAATTCCCCCGGACAGCACGCCAAATGTGCATTAAACTTTCTCCCTTTAATGTTTTTATGTAAGTGTGAACTGGTGAAAGAAATAAAAGACATGTGCAATGCATATAAGTTGCATGTTCATCATTTTAGTAAACAGACCCGATCCTTCCCACATCCTCTCAGATCGCATCCTTATGCTCTACAAGCAATTTCCCAGCATGTCAGACTCTACAAATCCTCCCTGACTGAGGTGTATGGAGTTACAGTGCCACGTCAAAGAGGAAAATAACCAATATCCTATCAGAACTGCAGGGGATTTAGGGACATTTATTTTTCTCACTGCTATCTCTTTTGCAGACAACAGCACATATGGCCAATAGACAAGAGATAATGAAATATTTTGCTGCATGACTGAGAGCGAGAGAGAGAAAAATGTGGTTCATTGAATTAAGTGGAAACGATTATCTACATAATGTAGGGTGACCTCCAGATTTCTCATGGTGGAAGATGGGACTGATTACGTTCACTTGAGCCATAACCGGCGTGAGAGACTCCACATGATTGAATTGGGGATTGCATGTTTTCTGAGAAGGCGTTCAGAGTGATACCACATTGAGTTATTTTTTCACAACTTGATAAACTCTTTTTATGCTTCTTTGACATCTTTACCTCTGACCTGCTCCATGGTCTCTAATATCCCACCTTCACTAACTGCAAGTTCATCGAGAACGAATTGTGATTGGAATTGGATTGGAAATATTGTTCTGCTGATGAGATTAGCTATACCTTCGATTAGGCTATTCTTGCATGACAGAAGACTGCTACTGATCACCTAGCAAAGACAATTTAGGAAAGAAAAATATGAGACAAAACATGAAAACATGATCAGGGCTCGCTCGTGTCGCCGCACAGAACAGCGTCATCTCGGACAGTCCTTCGGGAAACTAACCCTAATGTAGATAGTGCTTAAACATGACATATAATTTATCTGGGGTATATGTCAAGCGGCAATCTTTGGCTTAATTAATCTATTACTTGTCCCAGAACAAATCGATTTTGGTTTAGGGGAAAATTAAGTTACATAACTTTATATTTAGGCTGTACATGTTCATGAAGCGTGGCTTTGGTGGGACCAAAATCTATACATATATACTTCAGATGTTCCTGTAAACAAACATACACAGGATTAAAAGTTAAACATTCAAAGAGCAACTCTTTTAATAATCCCATAATTAACATTCTGTCATCATCTACTTACCCTAATGTCTGCTAACAACACCGATAACATCATCTTTGGTTTTTCATGAGGAAATACATTCATACAGGTTTGGTGCGACATGAGGGTGAAACAATTACTGAATAAATGACTAAATGACTAAATGTATAACTGAATAAATGACTACGTTTAATGTCTTCACCTCTTCCCGGTTCGTTCACACCCTCAAGACATCAATAGTGTTATTGGCTGGTTGTATGATGTAATTTATTGAAATGGTTTTCCACAGCAAATGTGACGTCAGCTGCAAATTGCAGATTTATGTTCAGCTTTACATATTTTTAAAACTAATCCATGATACCAACTCAACTATTAATGCACTAATTCAATGCTGTAAAAGCCTTTAATATAACATAATAAAATAATATAATAAAACTTCTTCTTTCACTTAATGTTTCATATTCATCTCTAGATTTTTACTTTCTAGAACAATTCTAGAATGTTGTATTCAAGCACTTCATCATTCATCAACATTATGGATACACTTTTTTAGCAAAATGAGTTAATCTACAAAAATAAAAAAAAAAAAAAAAAAATCCAATCAAATCTCAACAATAGTAATGTAAGGAATCCAAAACCTAATAGAGCTACTGATCCTACACCAAAATGCATGGACTGAACTAGTATCATAAATATCTATACATGAGTGTTTCACATGCAGATGTTTAAGCATTTGTTTTTCCAAATGACAACCAGTGTGTCTGAAAATTAATCTACAGACAATTTTACCGAACGCATCGTGGCTTACTCGGACCAAGCAAGAAGCTGATGTTTTTGTTAAACCTCCTATGCAAAAAAGAATAAGAAATGATTTGGGCTAAAGTCAGTGAGTGCAAACCTTGTGGAAACTATGAAAAGATGTTACCAAGAACATGTGAGACACTGCATGAGTGTGTGCAGGAGAGGATGGGAGCCTGACCTTGTGTGTGTGGCTATTGTGTGAGATGCAATAGAAATCATCCAGGCTCTGTAATCGCTTTCAAACAGATGCTGTGCACTTCATACCGCATCCCTCCAAGACATACACAAACTAAAACTGTGGACTAGAAACCATTAATTTGTTAGCTTCTTAAAACTTTTGTATAATTCACTCCAAAATAATTATATATATGAAGAGTTCAGATGCAAAAGCCTCTAAATGCCATTTGAAATTTTCTTCTAGAATGGTCATTTTTATCAAGCTTGTATATTTAAGTTCAGTAATTTCACTTAAATGGCAATGAAGATTACCTATTAATTGTCATTTAAGTGAAATTACTGAACTTAAATATACAAGCTTGATAAAAATGATCATTTTAGAAGAAAATTTCAAATGGCACTTAGAGGCTTTTGCATCTGAACTCTTCATATACACATTTGTGGGCAAAGTGACTTTTTCCAGTAACACTTTCCAATAAGATTCATCAGTTAACTACATTGGTTAACATTAACTAAAAATGATCAATACCTCTTCAGCATTTGGTAATCATTGTTAATGCAACTTCAACATTTACTAATAGGCTACTTTATTAAAATCTTGTTAACATTAGGTAATATACTGTGAACTAACATGAACAAACAATGAACAGCTGGACTTGTATTAACTAACGTCAACAACGATTAACAGATACAAATGAATTGCTCATGGTTAGTTCATAGTTAATACATTAACTAATGTTTATTAAATGAACCTTATTGTAAAGTTTTACCCTTTAAATATATATTATAGCAACCCGATCACACTAAATGTGTCTCTATAGCAAGCAGTGTGTTTATTGGGCAATTTATAGGCGAAAATGAGGATTTGCATAGGATACGCATGGGTTGGTTAGGGTAGGTTTAGTAGTGGTGGGGTGCGTGTGTATTATACGTTTAGTGTTGTGGGGTGCGTGTGTATTACATGCATATGGACTGCGTATCAAATGCATGCGAAAAAACACGTGCATAATTTTTTTGCATATAAATTGCATGAAATGTGTGCTATAGAGATGCATTTACATGAGAACAGGCTGATTTGCATCATGAAATATGTTCATAAACCTTTAGCATTCTCTCACAAAACTATTGTGTTCCTCCAAGAAACATCACATCTGCATTTTGCTCTTTACAAACATTTTGTTCTCTTGCAAAAGTAACTCTGAGAAACTTTGCATTTGCTTGCAAAAGCACTTATATATCTATTATAACTATATATTTTAACTATATATATATATATTCTCCCCCATCATTGTGGGGTTCCGAACTAAAAATATAATTAAAAAAATGTCATTTCTTATTTCTTTCAAGGTTTAAAATGACCTAGACATCTTGATTCAGGTTTCATGTCATCGACCTGAGGCAATTCTAACTTACATGCTAATTACAAATCATAACACAGATCACCTCGTCTGAACTATATAATCAGCTGCACGTGGGTAGGGGTTTCAACAAAGACGAATGTTGTCTGGCGAGATGAGACGGAGAATACACTCATTCATCTAACCTTATCAGACAACTCTAAATAAACAGCATTGTGGGAAATAAGAACGAGATCAATGCACAGCAAGAGTCATCCATCGCCACCGCTGAAAGCCTCTGGCCTGTTGAAGCCACTTGATAAAAAGTCCATTAAAGCATGTCTAATTAAATGATAAGCACAAATGAAATCACAGGTTGGAAAGATTTGCAGTAACCACCTCATGGGGGGTGTGTTGGTCATCTAATAATCACAAACACACACAAGTATAGGCACAGAAGCATGCGATAGTCACCAGGCAAATTGATTTGGCTTTAGTATTGAAATTGATCTGCGAGAGGATAACTGAATTATATGATGATGATGACTCGTGACCCATCACATTGTGGCTTGTTGTGAGATATGAGTGATGATGGAGCAGAGAAACTATAGAGACATCTCACAACACTGCACTCTTATGACGAAAACAATCAGCTCACTGAAGCAGGTTCTGTCCATATCACCATCTGAGAAGTTCACCAGTATAATAAATATGCCGGAAAACAGACCAAATGGTATTGCTCTAGTTAACTCTTTAGTTGTTCACGGTTACTCACTACGCAAAGGAGGTATTACTCAGCTCTTTCACGGCTCAGACGTCTTAGATCTGAGTCACGTTTTATTGAAGTATAATAGTCTTAAATTTGGTAAAATTGGCAAAACTGAAAAAATCTGAGAATCTAGAGACTTAAAATAAGGGGAAAAAACATTACAAAGCTAATAAAAGATATTATTAGCTTTTAAAGATAAACCTTGGAGCTTTTATTTTTGTGGGAAGCGCAAATGAACCTGAAATCTTCTGTCTCGTTGACAACAGATTTACAAACGATTCTCATTACAAATTTAAGAAGACATGTTTGGTGAATGTTGCCTTACGTTATAACTCACAGCATTGGCCGAGACGAGTTCATGGCATTCACTGCGAACCGAGACACCAACCCCAGATCAGGAGCAATTCACTTGTAAATGAACACAGATGAGTTCAGGTTGGTAGCGTTCGTCCTTTCAGTGCCGTCCGGAGCCATTCATGCATGGAGTGTATCTGAAAACACAGTTTCTTTGGTAATTGTTTAAAGCCGTTTCAGAATTCAGGTCATACATCTCCGGTCGGAGAATATGGAAATATGAAGACAAAAACCATCCCTGAGATGAATACAAATCTCTCTATTTAATCTCTGTCGTCTGTGGGGACCTATTATTTGTATTTAAATAAGGAAAAACAAGCTTTCTTTAGAAAATCAACAATAATGACAAAGAGATAAAAGCAACATTGGAATGTTTTATTCGTTAATGTTACTTTTTTTTTTTTTTTAGAAAATCGAACACAACCAATAAATACAAAGATAAAAAGCAACTTTTTTTGGCGAATGCCTCACCATATTCCAACCGTAGCATGTTAGTTTATTTTATATAGTTGCGTATTTCTTTTAGTTTTACTGTGCTCAAGGACAGCGAGCAGCGGCACCCAAAGCGGACTGGTCACAATGGATTGCAATGAAACATGAAACAGGCATGCAGATCCATCATTGATCCTCTTTGTGCGAACACACACGCGCGAGTTGGCACATTAAAGACAACATCTATAAACTTTTTTTTTTTTGCAAAATATATTATATTTACCCCCCCCAGAAAAAATCAACCTAGAAACCATATTTGTAGGTATTCTTGTGACCTGTCTGACCTTTCGAGTGCCACTTTCCGATTTAAAGGTGAAGAGTGTCCTTTTTGCACCAAATAGATAAACTCACTGTTTTAAACAGCTCAGTTACTGGTCAGCCAAACACACAGTCCTGCCCCAACTCACGCTACTGGTTGAGTCAAAGTTTGTGTGTTGGGATGCTCAAACGAATAGAGCAACGTTTCGATGGCGCCACAGTGATAATCAACCTATTAACGGCTCACAACAAGCTGGGATGGGAGATTAACATCAACAAATTATACAGATCAGCTTTAAATAATTCATCAATTATCACACCCTCCCATTCAAGCTATGCTTTCCAATTAACAACACACGTAATGCACAAACACAAGGTCATCTCCCACGTTGTCGCTGTGTGTTTTCCTCTGCATGGTGTGTAAGGCTCAGAGCCAGTCACGTGATCAAAGAGGTACGCCATAAAGCTATAGAAATGTCATCAATTCTCTCCAGGATTCGGCAGGAATAACTGGCACAGGAGGTCAGCGAAAACACCAAAACAAAAAGTACACGGAGAACAATAGAGGTTGAAGGTTAGAGAAATGTGCCACGTCCTTCAGGTCCACTCTTGACGTCGATATGCGTTCTCACTGGAGGACAGAACGGCTCATTCATACGGGCTGGATTGGCCCAAGTGAAAGGAAGAAGAGGAGGCAAGGTGAAGAGGTTGAAGCCAGCGTTGATGAGGTCTTGAGCTCTTGTGTTATCTGACCTCCAGGCAGTCCAGGTAGTCCAGAGCCAGCTCGTAGCAGAACCTGTACTGCTCCTGCCAACAACACCAAGGTCACATCCATTTCTCTGGCGACATTCACAAACTACATCAATCCCATTATGCAACTCCATTTATTAGGGCTGGGTAATGAATATCGATTTCTCGATATTAATCGATTCTCATTTTTACGAACCGATATCGATTCTTAAATCTCAAGAATCGATTAGTCATCCTGTTTCATTTGAATGAATGGATCATTGTATCGCGGCTGCGCGCATCCAAAAAAAAATCGCAATAATCTTTGTCCTTTGTTACTATTGATATGAAACAAAGTCTCAATTTTCAAATTACGTCCATTTTCTTTAGAAATTCAAAAACATAAATGGCGTTTTGTCGCTGTGGCGTGAGATCGCTCTGGAGAAGCAGCAGCGCTGATCTCTCTTCCGGCTTAATAATACCAGTCACAGCGCCAAATAAACATGAATGAGCATCTGAAAGTGTGTTAAAGATAGAGGACAACTTATCCAAATCCGGATCATGTCACATTGATTCGCTCAATCAGCGTTTCAACCGTGGAAAGACGTCAGTTAAACAGCTTGTAATCAATGTATCGTCATATTTACCTCAGAAAACCCACATAAACTCGTTAGTCAGCTAGAAATAAATAACTCTAGAGAGGAGCATTTTGCTAAATATATACACCATATTACATATGCATTAATCTTAATGTTCTTCAATATTTAATGCATATTTGAATACATCTGGTAAGTTTTTATGACAACCACCATTTAAATGTTTATATTTCATATAATCTTCTTATTATAAAAATAAATAATACTGTAATTTAAGTGTTTGTATAGCTGCAAAACAGTTCATTATTACCTTCATATTAGGCTAATGAAGCCTATAGGCTACAACTAGACTCCCATAGTTTACAGCATTTAAGAGATTTGATTCCCTTGAGAAAATTTGCCATTTATTGTAACTGATATCCAAAATAATCGATATTGAATCAAATCGTAATCGAAATCGAATCGAATTGCAAGCTTGTGAAACGAAATCGAATCGAATTGTGAAATTTGTCTCAATACCCAGCCCTATCATTTATACATTTAAAGAAAATGTGAGAGATGTTTGCAATGGCTATTTATACAGCTGTATCCCTCCTTCAATCTCAGTCTGTAAAGTAAAGATGCTCACAGAACAAATGATTTGCATGTCAAACTATGCTACACATTTTGGGGATTAGCAATAGTGAACAGCACTAATACGGTCAGCACACTAACCATTGACTCCACCATGTTGGGCTTGGAGTTGCGGAGCGTCTTGACGGCGTAGAACACGTCGACCATGTTGTGATGATGCACCATCTCCATGATCATGGTGCACGCGCAGAAAGTGCCGCTACGGCCCCCGCCATTCCTTGAACACATTAATATGTTGTTTCATTAGCATCTTCTTGTAACTGATGTAGGAGAGGGATCTACTGTATGCACAGCACTTTCAAAGCTTGTGTGGATTATTGTATTAGAGATGTCTGGAGGGGATCGCGGTGAAAGGCCATATTTGTGCCAGATATCTGTAATACTTTTGAACATGAAGGAATGGAGAGTAGCAGTGCGCTCTGGGGAAAAGTTCTGCAATAAAACTGTCCCATCCTCCTGATCTCAGATCAGTTCCCCATAAAGAGGGGCCAGCACAGATGCTTCGAAGACCGCAATGGTGCCATGCTATCATTAATAGAGGATAGATGTATTAAACTACACAGATGTTGCCTCTATTAGATTCTACACGGATGCAGATTTTCACTGTTGGGTGGCCACAGAAATCGCAGGAGAGACCTCAACACAATGAAGTGTAATTGGCATTTGCAGAAGCAGAGCCGTATGAAACTTACAAGCAGTGCACTATAGTGCGCCCATCGCCACACTCCCGCTGCCACTTCTGCACTTGTGCCAGCAGCGTGAGAAAGGCCTTCTTGGAGTCTGGGATTTCACGATAAGCCGACCAGCGCAGGAACTGGAAATGTCGTACCACCAGATGACCTTCCTGCAACTGAATGATAAAGACAGACAGACCAAGAGCAGAAGAATGAGCTAAATTATTGTAAACATGGCATGAAAATGAAATTGAAACGGTCCGTTCAATCAAGGGGGTTTAGATCTCTGAAGTGGCACATAAACTTGCCTTTGCGTTCTCTCTCAAAACTTGTTCATTCCCCTTTGAAAATTAGCATTTTGCACTTACTCACAAAACCTTTGATTTCCCAGAGACGCTTTAAGGGGAAACACAACTCTTTTAAAGCGTAGAAATCGAATTTTTCCTCCCATTTCATAAAAGTTTTCCTTCACCATGTCCCCTTAGGGGCTCCATATGTGCCACTTGAGAGATCAACAAAACCACAACAATCTGTTAAACTGAATTATCCCAAACCTAGTCCCTACTGACTAACACTAGAAATGTGCAATCCTGATACTCATTCTATTATACTGTTTTAATTTTATGATATATATACACTTCAACTACATGTACTTCATATAGGGTTAGGGTAGGATTAGGATTTGGTTGAGGGTTAGTTGGATGTAATTATGCTTAATTTACTCTTATTACTGTGGTAAGTACCTGTAACATACTGTATGTAACAACGACACTGTAAAATAAAGTGTTCCCTAATGTTTATTGCTTGGAAATTATATTTTTAATAACAACAATTATAATAAAATGTGATAATAAAACAAATTGTGGATATGTCCCACATTTTAGTAGCGGGTTCCAGAAATGGCATTCAGAATTTATATATATATAATCTTTAATAATAATCTTTATTGTCCACCAAGGTGGAAAATTGTCTTTGGCTCACCAGCCATTTATATTATATTATTAGAGCCTGACCAATAAAGGATTTTGAAGACCGATACCGATACAAATATTTTTGGATTTTAAAATCCGATATATCAGCCGATATTCTATTTATTTTTATTTTTTTCAGAAACGCACAACAAAACATTAACAGATTTCCCTAACAGAGTCATTTGTAGTTATTTATGAGTTTTAACTAAAATAGTATGATAAAGCATTTTAAAAATAAACTTGTTTCTTTTATTGTCACAACAGAACAGAGGAACATCAAAATATATTAAAGTTCTGATAAATAAAATAATAATTAGTCCCTACATTGCCTTATAAGCTACCTTATAATTACAATGTCCGCTTGCTCATGCCTTTATCTGCACTTTTTACATTCTTTCCATCAAGCTTCATCAAACCATTTTCAATCATCAGATATACGTTTGATACTTTTTCTCTGTCTAAATGTTCACTCAATTTTACAATGCAGGGACTGTAACTAGAGATATGTAAGTTATAAATACAGTAATCATTACTTTATTTAGGCAGAAAAAGTTCATTGTGGTTTCCAAGCTCATTAAGCAGTCTTCCACTGATGATAGTGGCGTTAGCTAGCTTTGTGGTTAGCTAGTCTATGATGAGCCATAATTTAGCAATAGATAACATCATACTGCAAATTGTAAAACATACATTTTCAATATAACAGGCCAAGGAGAGATGATGATTGAAGCGTGTTTCATCCGTTTTTATTTTATTTTTGAAATATTCATTTATCGGCCATTATAACTGTCGATACCGATATTTTGGAAAATGACTAATATCGGCCTGCAGATATATCGGTCTGGCTCTATATATTATTATATTATATTATATTATATTATATTATATTATATTATATTATATTATATTATATTATATTATATTATATTATATTATATTATATTATATTCTAATATAATAATCAGTTTGACCTCCTGACATAAACAAACCAGGGACGTGCACAGGAATTCTGAGGGGCAGTTGCTCTGACCTGAAAAAAGGGCGCCCCCCCCCCCCCTCACGGGCTATATGAAGGAATATATTCAGTTGAATTTGTCACCTTCCAAATTGCCTTATGGCCGTGTTTATGTCCAAACGCAATGCCTCATCTTATGGTCTTATTATTTTTTATAAAGATTGCAAAATGTCAGAGATGAGACAAATGAGCAAAAGAGTTCCTCATATTGTTGTTTATTGTTTTTTTTAATTATTATTATTTATTTATTTATTTGAAAAGAAATAATCTGGATTGAATGGAAAAACTCGAAAAAATAAAAAACGCTTAGATTTCGGGAAAAAATACAATCCTTTTTTGCCAATCCTGACCTCCCCCTGCATGGGGCCCTAAGCAAAATTCTGCTATGGGGCCCTCTACCTGATCTGTGATGCCGTGAGCCATGTAAACCATTTGCCATTGCCACTCAATACCGCCCAATAACAATCATCCCTCCTTTAAACAAAACAGTCAAAGAATAAGTACAACAATATAGAACAGAATGAGGTTCAAACAAATAATATTTACTGAATAAAGCATTTTTATAGAATGTTAAGATAACAAGTGAATATTAACGTAAACATAAATAAGAAGAAAATAATAAAGTACAACCCTGAACTTTGGCTTTTGGGATTAATTTTGATTCACTCTACAGCCTGGGTATTTTGGAATCAGTAGCCTATGATTTTTATTTATTTATTTTTTTATGCATGTTGAAGCAAATCTTGATTTATTGTTATTTACTGAGGGATTTGCATTCATATTGACCAGAATGTCCAGCTAATCATCATTTTAAATTCAATATAGCCTATAAATCAATAGTCAATCAATGTCAAATTGCCAATACATTGGTTTCTATCTTGCATAATTAGTGCAGTTGTTTAGAGTTTTTAACTACACTGAGACTATAATCAGTGTCTTTATAATGTGTACTTTGATTGGGAGTGCCATCATTCACGTATTGTACAGTATTTCTGGTCTCCACATTTCTGCTTGAAAAATGCGAGTTTCATTTCGTGCACGCGCATATGAACGCAACACACGCGACGCGGTTATGTTTTCCGAGCTGTAGTAAACAAACACTGTTGTTGCACTTTGTCGTTTATAAAAAAAAAACCGTAATAAATAATGGTATTTTACTCTCACTTTTGTCAGGCAAAAAGTGATGCAAGAGATGCACTGCCTACCCAGATAGGTTAGCAAGACCAAAAACCTTCAAACTTTGCTGACATCAAACTAGAGAGGAGAGAACACAAGTTTACCTGACTGCTTCCCGCAATTCACTCTCATGTTTTCTTCTTCCTCTTTTCGTGACGAGAAGGATAGGTTCGCTTCATTTTGTCATGGACTTCGTACACATTAATTAGCGCGCGACACGAGATGGAGGCGCGGCCTGAGTAATTTGCGGTGCCTTACCATACACACCGGTCGCGTGCAGTCTATGGTCGCGTGCGGCACTGCAGCCACGTAAACAGTTTGACTTTCCCTTTCAGTGCCCGAATGAAAGTGAATGAGGCTTTGCGATTTTTATATTATTTTTTTGTCTAGGCCTACGTGAAATTCTACATCCATTGTACGATTTTTTTTTTCCTCGGAAGGGCAACCTGAGTCGAGAAGGGCATATGGGCAGTTGCCCGGGCAACCTGAGCAACCCCCCTGTGCACGTCCCTGAAACAAACCGTATTATCTGAAGGCTAAGCATCTTCTTTCACTGATTCCTGAAGAATGTTACTCGTCTGTTTTGTGTCGTATTCATGGAAGATCTACTGTAAGTCAAACACTTGCTTGCACACACAATATTCAGCTCATCTGCAAGTCATTGACTGGATCCTTTGAGCATTAATTAGCATCTAAATTAGTCTGTAAGATATTATTAAAGCATTGTTCTGTCACGGGGCTTTTCTTTGTCCGCCAGTTAGCAACATGATCTACTCCTCAGTCTTGTACCTTTTTGGAGAAGCGAGAATCATCTTTCCAACACGGGTGGATCTCTCTGGGGTCCTGTGAAGAGGCAGTATGGGACAGTTTCTGACAGTGACATGGAGTGTTTGCCCAGCTTGCAGAGTCTCAAAGAGACAGAGGGGAAATGGGGACTGACAGGGGCTAGCCAAACTGACAGAGGCACGGACGGGAATACGGCTAAAGGTTGACAGGCTGGCTGTCAGGAGCGCTAAAGGGGGCGAGAGCAACACTCGAGACGAGATTTCAAAGAGACGGGATGTTGACAATGACGCCATCCGGGAGGACTAAGGTCAGCTAGAGGTGTGAGGAAGTGTCTTTTTATCCAGACGAGTCAATATCAGAAGCACACACACACACACACACACACACATCCAGCGAGAAACGACCACGTCTAATTATAGCAATGTAGTGTCCGTCAGTACCATTTGGTGAAATACAGACTGACCACACTTTTATGATTTAATTTCATTTTCAACAAGTCTCTGAAAAGATCATTTAAGCCATTAGCCTCTCAGTTAATTAACCTTTCTGGAGCGGCCCTGAACTCAGATCATCTCTTTTCAAAAAAGACAGACATTGGAAGACAGGTGATTTGTCTAATGAGGTCTGATTTTAATGAGGTACTGTAATAAATATTTGAAGATGGCATTATAAGCTCACCCGTGTGATGTTGTTCACCCTGAATAGACGAGTAACAACGTTGTCATCGGTGGATCTGGAGAGCAGCTCTACTGTCATGGGTCCGTACTGCTGCATCCCTGTTTCAGGCCAATACTGCAGACAAGGCTGAGAAACAGAAGGAAATAATCACACACGTAAATTACTGGACATAATTATTTCGAAAGGGACAGTGCACGTTAATCAACATCCAGATTTTCATTTGCAGTCCATTTGCCTGATATTATTAAAAAAGCAGCTAAATATATGCAACTAAAAAAAGAAAGAGGAAGAGAACCCTTGCAATGCACCAGAATGATACAACTGAAACATAAATGGCTGAACAACATCAATGATGAGATTGTTGACTGGTATAATAACTACAGTATAATAACATTGATAATAAACATTAAAAAATGCATAATGCATTTTAAAAAATATTAAAATATTATGAAATGTTTTCAATCATGCCATTTGACAGCCATCTGACAAAATTCAAAAAAGTAAAATGATCAGATATTTGCATAGCAACTGCCTAGCAACACCATAGCAACCACCCAGAACGCCCTATCTCTCTGTGATATTATTTCTTGTTTATGGGTTTCATTTCTTGTGATTAAGGAAAAGGGTGAAGACAGACAGTGAAAGGATAATGGAGTCAAGGAAACACCAGAGATAGGCTAATCAGCACTGAAAATCCAATCGCGGCCCACCAATCTCCCTATCTAGTCCAATCTCCCACCAGATTACCGTTTGCTCAATGTGTCCATTAATTTTCACTCACGCCTGTTGCAGACAGATCTAATCCAACATGCTTTTATTTGAAACGAGTCGGCGTGAAACGGCTTCATCCAGGGATTTCCGATGTGAGATAGAGAGGCGTTGATATAGATCAGATCGAAATTGATAAATTCTTGTCACAATGATGCGTATTAGCAGTGAAATCGTGCAGATGAAGATACATATTCATACAAACACACTCAGACAGATCAGAAAGAGGTGACCGCACAAGAAACAGAACAGAGATGTTTCTAGAAAGTCGGAGGAATAAGTGAGATAATCCAAAAAAATATCGAGATAATAAAAAGACATTTTTTTTTTGCACAAATCAAATGGGAGACAAGAAACAGAAATAAGTATAAAATAGTTTTATGCAGATTACCTTACATATACAAAAGCACAAACACAGATGTATTATCAGGATGACACACTCTAATTGTGTATTCAGTGGAATAACGTGCACCAGAAAGGCTTTATCATGGAGAACGGGTAACGGTGGATCCCTGCAGGGGGAGAAGACTGAAAATCACGAGTAGGTTGGTGTCTTGGTGAGTTTGTCCTCTCCATTGCCAATTTAGACAAGACAAACACATTATCAATGTGGGGAGTCTCAAATGAAAGGCACATTGTGCGACTGCTGTTCACCCAGAGTAAGACGACCAAAAACACAGCGTTCACTCTCTCAAAGACTTCAAAACAAAAGCCTGCAGGGGGGATTAAAATATGTAAAGGTTATATTCACACCACCACAGCTGTCTGTGGCCTAAACATGACTTTCATGTGGCACAAATGTGTTGGAAGAAAGCAAAAACATTACAAATATTGCACCAAATCTGACATTTCCAATTGCAATCTGAACCACTTTCATATGTGGAAATACATTTTGTAATGTACAGTAACCGGTGCATGCGTTTAATATATGTTTTGAATATATTCAATTGCCCGAATTTCATACTACCCATTTGCATAATAAACAGAACTCACTTTTTTTATCAAATGTAGTACCTACTCAGACAGATTGTGTTTGTGCTTACTGTGTGAAGAAGTGACTTAACTCTTGTGAAATGAATCCTAGCTATTATGAAAACATGTAATGGACATGAAAGTTCTGTATATAAGCTGACCAGAATGATTCCAGAAATCCTATTGTGTAATATGCACAGAATCATCAACGTGCATTGTGGGTTGTGGATCTGTTCATCTATGTGTCTTACCCAGGCAGAGTTGGACTGGTTGAGTTGGTTGAGCATGACGATGGAGGTACAGCCGTAGTCAAACACGAGTCTCCAGAAGTCAGCGGTGGTGGTGGGCAGGGGGTGAGGGGTGACCACAAACGCAGCCGGCTGCAGGAAGCTGTCCATCAGGGCCGCGTTGATGTAATTGTTGCCGTCCGCCTCGGTGGACACGAGAAACGCGAGGGCGCGGTCCGGCGGCAACACATCCATGCTCCGGTTCTTCTCGCGGTTCCGGGGCAGCAGAGACACACTGCACTCCTCCACATCCAGGTGAGGGGTGACCGAGTTTAGAGTCTGATCAAGACACAAGACAAGGGGTCAAAGGCTGTCTGAATGCACACAAAGGAATGATATAACTAAGTGAGACAGGAAGTAAAGTTATGCGGGCGATAGCTAGAAGCAAAACTGACCAAAGCAAAAGAGGAAGAAGTGTACAAACGCTGTGAACAAAACACATTTTGAAAACAGAAAATTACATTTTCATGACATCTAGAATCCTTCAGTCACTAAAACGACGGACAGACAGACAGATAGATAGATAGATAGATAGATAGATAGATAGATAGATAGATAGATAGATAGATAGATAGATAGATAGATAGATAGATAGATAGATAGATAGATAGATAGATAGATAGATAGATAGAAGATTCTGCAAGTTGAACACATGACCTCAATTGTAAATAGATGTAGAGAAAAGAATTTGAAGTAGAAATGATTCTGTCTCGGGGAAAAGGCTTAACGGCTGAAAATAAATACAGACTGGTCACAAATGAACACTTATGCTATGAGCCTTGAGGTGAATGAATCAAACTGAGAATTATGCAGATTGTTACACTTGATGGGTAAAGTACTTCAATCCTGATTTTTTTTCTGACGGCACAAATGGGACATTACAATTATGATTATTAGAATTGCATTGGCTTTGAGAGCTGTGCTTTCAGGAGGATATACACACCGAGAGCGCAAGCCATGACACCATTAGTGGCTTAATGTAAAAACACACATGCGGAACTGAGGGAACACCTCATTAACCCTCTCTGAATGAACCCAAATAGATGATACAGCTGGTTGACTTCATCGAAGTTTGAGCTAGTGTGCAGCACTTAACCTGGATGAAACAAAACAACATGATTTGCATAAAACCCACAGCGGCCATTATGATTATGCCATTATGAATCGTCTATGTAACATGGCTGGGGTGAATGGAAGGACCTGGTCTTGGGAAGCTTTGCCCCTCAAAACAAACCTGTGTTGTGGCATTCTTTCTATGTGAGAAGATTTTTGCCTTTAAGATCGACCGCGAAGAACCAATTGTGATAATGAATTTGCAACACGATCTTACATTCACATTTCTTCATTTAGCTGACGCTTTTATCCAAAGTGACTTCCAATTGCTATATATGTCAGAGGTCGCACGCCTCTGGAGCAACTAGGGGTCAAGTGTCTTGCTCAGGGACACATTGGCGTCTCACAGTGGATTCGAACCCGGGTCTCTCACACCAAAGGCATGTGTCTCATCCACTGCGCCATGACTTTTTCAAGATGTGATGTGTACAAGATAACCACCCTAAAAATGTGACCAATTTAAAACATGCCAAGGTTCAAGCCAATTGCAACCAACTGCCCACTAAAATCAGTCGTATGCAATTTTCTTTTAAATGCTGATATTGCAATGCATACTGGTTAGTGTCAAACCAAATATTAAAAGTGCTTTTTAGAGCCATTGTCCTCAGTTCAGTCAGCCCTAAATATTATACGACTCACCTGAAACTCTTCTCGAAGTTGAGAGGTGTTGGTCTGAGAATCCACACTCAACATGTCCTTATAGGTGAGCATAAACTCACTGATGGGGATGGCGGTCTCTCCGCACAGACAGGCCTCCAGTATGGCATCATGAATGAATATATACTGCTCCTAAAACCCCACAGAAAGAGTCAGTTCAGGTCAGACTACGACAGAAAACGGATTAAAAAATAAGTCCATGCCAAAACATGCACATGCACTGTCCAATTATTTGCTTTTATCTGGCTTTAATTAAAAACGATGCGACACATAAGACCCCAGCGGGTTAAATATCACGCATGGGTTTTTTGTTTGATCTCTTTTGACGGAGTACACTCGATTGGCCTTCAGCTTGCTGTAGTTAATTAATATATCATAAGCAGCACTGTGTAAAAGTGAGGGCAGAGATCTCTTTTGCATTATAAAGCTGTCTGGAAAGCAAGATGGGTTTCATGGCCTTGGTTTTGTCTTTAAGTGTTCTTGTGATATTAAGCAAACAATGATTATATATTAAATTATGGTTTCCTCTTTGTTGTCCAGCCTCTTGAGGATTCACTTGAGGAAAAATATTCACAGCTACTCTTGTCCGTCAGCTTATTAACATGCAACTCATTCTCTGCCTTTCAGAACTGAATGAATTTAAAGGGGAAATAATGAACTGAGAATATAAATTATTCAAAAGTAACACGATTTTAAATGTCTAAATCTATTTTACCAAACAAACTTTCAAGCCCATTTTGTCTGTAAAGAATATAGAGAAGTTAAAAAACAAGTCAAAATAAAAAATTGGAATTTGCCATGAAATATTGAATAAAACTTAGGTTAGCTTTGAAAGCATAACAGGGGGAAATAGCCCACCCTCCCTTCAGTGTTAAGAAGTCTGCAAAGCATCATTGCCTCATATCTCGAAGCGCAACATACAACAATAATGAACGTCAAGAACTTATTTATGGTTATTGTTAGAATTCAAAGTGCTTTTTATATCCTCGTAGAGCTCATAATTACAATTATCAGATAGTGGTGCCCGAGTCCGAGGATGTGAACAGCTCCAAGTAGAAACTCTGCTTAGCCTCATGGAGCAAAGATGATGTGTTTTGTGTGCACGAGCAGGGTTTATGGTATGATATGATGTCCAAAAAGGATGACTTTTGTTTTAGTCCTGAGACTTCCACAGAAGATTTTCATTCAGACATTGCTAATAATTTACACATAAATGGGATTTATAAATGAAAATCCAAAGAAATGTCAAGTAATACATTAAATTAGATGATTTCAATGTTGAAGTAGAAAGACTGAAATGCTATTTTATTATGAAACGTATTCCTATAATCGTTGTTTTGTTTAAAGTTTTGAAAACTATTTTTTCTAACAGTGCATTGCAAAGGTTCCAAACAATGTGGACATCCATCCGGTGTACATACGCAAGATTTGACCAAATCATACAGTTAACTTCTGTGACTCAGGGCTGTGTGTTCAATTCAGCAGCGAAGAGTAGTGTTCACATCCACAGTACCCCTGATTATCCTTATTAGCCGAGTTTGAGAAACAGCGTTCCCAACATCCCAATGAGCCCATCTCTGACATCAAATAAACTCAGGTCAGCACAGAGAGTACTAGAGTAAAAAATGGGCTAAAGGGAAACCAAATTTTTTTTTATTTCAGATAGAAATGAAAAATTATTGTGAGTTACTTCTTGGGTTAAAAAATAGTAAAGCAAAACGTACGAGGTCTTTATGTGAAGCTTTTATGTTATTTACTTCATGATCTCATACCGGTTTCTTTTTTTTTTTGTTTGTTTGTTTTTTATTGTATTATTATTTTAATTTATGTTGTATTTTTTTATTTACTGTAATGTATAATTATTTCAATAAAAAAAAAAAAAAAAAAGAGCACTAGAGTAAAATAGCCAGAATGACACCTTGATTAATGTGAGCCAGTCTTCTGTTGCTGATCTTACCTCAGTCTGGATCATATTAATTCGTCGTGAGCAGAGCGTCTTCACACAGTTATAGATGTCCACCACACCCTCACACTCCGCCATATCCAGCATCACGTCCAGCACTATATAACAGCCGGTGCGGCCCGCGCCCATACTGCACACACATCACGGCAAGCACTTCACAAACTGCTTCCAGTCAATTCCTGATCACTGACAGGGGGGGATAAAACTACCACTGCTCATTCAACGGGTGACTAAAACAACCTTAAATCAGAGTCCAACCTGAATAATCTGGAGGCTTAAACTGGAGCGGACTCTCCTATAACTGTGGTGGTAAGTCAATGTCACAGTCTAAATTACAAGCTTTTTATTGATTGGTTGTGTAATTCGTAACATAGGCAGGATAACAGTAGAACATGTGAAGAGTTCAGATGCAAAAGCCTCTAAATGCCATTTGAAATTTTCTTCTAGAATGATCATTTTTATCAAGCTTGTATATTTAAGTTCAGTAATTTCACTTAAATGGCAATGAAGATAACCTATTAATTGTCATTTAAGTGAAATTACTAAACTTAAATACACAAGCTTGATAAAAATGGTCATTTTAGAAGAAAATTTCAAATGGCACTTAGAGGCTTTTGCATCTGAACTCTTCATATAGAGTTAAACTCGATGAAGTGCAGACATGTTGTCATAGCTTGCCATGCTAACGACAAGGCTATCACTTGAGTATTAATTTCACATGTGATGCTTATATGGACATTTTAACAATGTTCAGGGATGATTCATCGAATTGGTTTTCCAATTTAGTTTGATCAGATACATGAATGTCTTTTCAATAAATAGACGAGACTGGCGGACACAGACACGTCCTTGCACTGGTGAACTGCAGGTACAAACAATTTTCTCTTTATAATGGATAGAGGTTTCATGGAAAACATCAAACAACTGTATTTCATCAAAAGGAAGAACATGCTTTTATATTTGAGATCTGAAAGAAGTGACATTACCTGAGACAAGAAATTCATTTTTTTAAAGGTGAAGTGGAGGCACTAAAACCCATACGAGACAGTTGGAGATGTTAGAATTATTCATTAAAAAATAAACGCTGTAACCGAATTCTGTTTTCTACTTATTGGATAGTATGTACTATATGCCACTTATTTTTATTTTTAAACAGTATTCAGTATAAAACAATCACATGGAGATGCACCGATGTATAGGTCAATAATCAGCAGTTAAAAGCTATTATTTTCCCTACCGACAATTGGCCAATTGTTTAAAAACAGCTGATGATGAAACAAAAGTGTGCTGAAAAACATGCAAGTACAGGAAGTGATGCTTGATTACCTGCAGTGGACAACCACTGGCCCAGCATCCGGTGGTGTGGAGGCTTTGACCCGCCGGAGGAAGGCCAGCAGTCCTGTGGCATGAAACGGGACGCCGTGCTCTGGCCAAGACGTAAAGTGGAATTGGCAGACTTCATGCTTGGCTGGGTAACCCCGCTGATAAAAAAAATAAATAAATAAAATAAATAAATAAATAATAATAAAAAAATAATAATAATAATAATAATAATAAAAAAAAAAATAATAATAATAATAATAAAAAAAATAAAATAAAAATAAATATATATATATATATATATATATATATATATATATATATATATATATATATATATATATATATATATATATATATATTCTTCCTATATATATTTTAACATCTTATTAGAATACCAAATGGGAAATAGCTCCATTAACAAATTTACATTTCATGACAAAAACAGAGCAAAAACCATTGACAAAAATCTCAACACTCTTACCCGCTCCATGGCAAAGGTGCGTACGGTGTATTCTGCCAGCGATTCGGTTTTCAGAAGAGTAATTTTAATGTCTCCATAGAGCTCACTTTCATCTGGCCAGTATTTACAGCACTTCATCTGAACAAAACAAATCACATTTAGAATTTGGTTAAATCCTTGAATTGGTCACAAATACGATTTTTTCCAAAGAGAAATACATGCATACAAAGTAAAAAGATTCATAATTATAAAGACAATAGCATACTTAAAGGCACAATATGTACAAATTATGGATTGAAATGTTGCAGACGCGTTGTAGACACACTTGGATCATCAAGCTACGCCTTTGTTATTGCTTTGAATAAGCAACTTACATACTGTGCCTTCAATCAATGTTCTTAGACACAAGCCAAAATGTTACGGATTACAGGTAGATGAATATTGTAGGTCAACATTTGCCTTTTTATAACTTAAACTCATCTTAAACAAAAGCTAATACTTAAGAGAAAAATAAAACCATTTAGTTCATTCTGCAGTAAAACTAGCCAGTGTGTTATGCACATCAACAAACCACACATTTATATATATATATAAAGATTTAAACCAAAACCTGTGATTTTCAATTAGACCAATATAAACATGCACTTTAAATATAAATAAATGACATGGTAGCTTCACTTATTTCAATATACTATCAAAATGTTTGAAGGGGGAGCTGATTATTAGAATCTATATCGGATGTATTGAGGCATGCTAATTTGCCACATTTTGATAATAAAAAAAATAAAAATATTTAAAATTGGTTTCAGCCAAAATATCACAGTAATAACTGTAATACTGCAATAAAACTGTGATAACTTGGTTGAAGCCAATACATGAATAAATCAGCTTCTTAAAAAGAGATCCTATACTAATTTACTATGATGTTACAGTACAAAGAACTGCAGTAATCATGGTGTTTTAGAGAGAGAAATGGGACAAAGGAAAGTGCAGTTAAATGGAGGATGGCTGGGGCGAGATAATCATTAATCAGGTGGAACGTTCTCTGGCTAATGGGGTGTCTTGGTAAAGTTTATCTTCAGTAATGGTCAGCTGTGGACTGCAGTGGTCAGTGTTTAGTAATAGATGGTGTCCATTAGTGGGCGGCCGAGTAGCCGGAGGCAGAGTTATTCTACTCACTCTCCCCACCTCCACCAGTTTGGTGATCATCACGATGCTGTAGCAGTTCTCCTGCCAAACCATGCGCCAGAAGTCATAGATCATGTCCTGCTTGGGCCCTGCGGAGACACAGAACAATCGCTTCACTGAGGATTGTGGGAGGTGAATGATTTGAATGGAGGATAGTGAAACAGCGGATCACCACTTTGATGAGGATTACATAAGGAAAGAGAAACGGCAGGAAGAGCTACTGTATCAGTTCATAGTGAATAGAGAAACGCTTGGCAGAGTAATTTCAGCAAGGAACTACATTTCTACCTTTTCGAACGAATGCCAGGGAGCTGCAATGTAGTTACTGAGGAAAGGGTTTTACTGCTATGTGTGCTGATGAAAGTGTGCGAGACGCTAATTTGAATGCTATATGGTGTAAGGCCATCATTAGCGGGATATGTACTGGGAACATTGAAGCTAGAGCATTCAGGTAAACGGACTGCATTTATATAGCACTTTCAAAGACCCAATGACTTTAGTGTGTTTCATGCGGTTGTTGTGTTGTTTGGATTTTTCCTAAGGGTTTTAGATTTTTTTATGCAGTTGCTATTGCTAATGTACTCTATCTGTTGTAGATTCTGAGGTGCTGAAGTGGCCCTTTGGTGTCTGCTAGGGTCTTCCAAATAGTTTTTTGACCATGATATTAATATGGTATTATCTATAGTATAAATCTAATTTTGAGACAAAGTAAATCTATGGTATATTCTCATTCCAAAATGATTTCTGTTCATCCAATTAAAGTCCACACAACCTAAATTTTGACGCTTCAAAAAGTTCATAAAGACATTGTAAAAGTAATCCATATTAATTGAATGGTTTCATCCAAGTCTATGGAACAGATACAATCGCATTATATGATGAACAAACGTAATGTTGGCCAATGCACATACAAAAACCAATGCTAAACATGCTTGATTAACGAGCATGAACCCAGATGCTGCTAGATTCATATGGATTACTTGTATAATTTGTTGAACATTTTGAAGCATCAAAAAACAAACAAAAAAATAAGTATTGGTGCCAGATTTACTAAACAGGGCAAATTAGTGTGGGAGCGCATGTGCACGTGATCTACTGACGACACACAGCATGATCTTTTACTTAATGACAAACGCAGCGCAAATTAGCATCTGGAATGATGAGACATGCTTTTTTGGGGGCGGTAGCTAAATAAATGCGCAAATACCAGGGAATTGACTCGCACAAACCTCTGCAGATCACCTTCCATGATTCATTTATATTCTCTCCCATGCATTGTGTCTCTGAAAGGGAATGCCTATGCAACAAGGTCAGCTGCAAGAATAACCCTGAGTGCAACACACCTGTTCAGCGCTAACTTTAAAAACTACTCGACAGCCCTTTATGTGGGGCTGTGTGGACTTTCAATGGAGGGGTAAAAAAACCTTTCATTAAAAATACATTTTACTCACATGATGGTGCGTTACTGATTCATTCTTTCTTTGTTGTTGTTTGTTTAAACTACACCTATCGTTGAGGGAAGAGCAATAGTGACGCTTGCCTTAGCAAACACCTCTAATGACATCTTTACTATTAATAAGATGAGCTGAACTCACTCGGCTCTTTCTTTTCTTCCTCGTGCATTTGTCTCAACACATGCAGAGACGCGCACACACACATGGCAACACTAAAGCGGCGCTCTGAACATTACAGCAGAGCTGCTGAAGGTTTCTGTGACTCTGTGAATGCTGTGAGCGCTCTGGCCTCGGGCTAGCCGTCTGTTCTCTCCTCCACCTGTTAAACAATTACACACAACAAGAGGAGCCACACTTCCCGATATCGCCCGCAGCTACATCTTCGAAAAATCACATCTGAACGTTCTGCTCTACAGCCTGGATGAAGCTGAGGTTATTCATGATGCATAATGATGTTGAAACAGGAGCGTTTTCCAGGTGTAGAGATGGCGAGGAGATTTTGTTCTACAGCTCCAGTGTGTGTTTGTGGGCAAACTGAAATATCATTTCCCAGCTGACAGTATCTGAACACATCCAGCCCGGGTTAATCAAAGCACCTCTGCCACGAGGAAACTGCGGTTATGAGCAGACAACAAACAACTTTCATATTTCCTTTGGTCTTCTGAGCCTTTTTTTTTTTTTAAATAACATAAGCAAACACACATCAGAGCTGCTGGACACCAAATAGAAATTGCCTTCTACAGAGTACAGTAACTCATTGGAAAGCATCTAGTATTTGGCTTCAGGAACATCACTAGAAATCAAACAAATTCATATGAATCAGCAGTTAAGAATAAGTTAAAAACTGATATGTTAAAAACATCTGTATAGCAGTTTGCCATAGGACTGCCCAGAACACCTTAACAACCACACTAAAGCCACCCTAGCAACCACCCAGAACAGTCTAGAAACCACAAATCATGCATAATAGCAAACTTTTAGCAATCACATAGTAAATCACTTTAGCAAAAACATTACATAAAAATTAAATGCACAGGTCAGATATCTGGCAACCACCCTAAATGTGACTAAACGCTCCAAAACCACAGAGAACAACCAAACAAAATGAAAAGCAAAACCCAAATCACTAGATCATTGGAACATGCTGAGTTTTGGATGGGTCAGTCCCAATGTTTTCCCTAAATGTAGTAATATTCTAGTTGGTATTATATAGATTCTAGAGGTTTGGGGCTGTAGCTGATCATTTAGATGTGTTTATAAGCTCACGGAGGCTTGAGCACATCTGTGCTGTTATGATGCTCTAGCCAGATCTCAGGAGCTAAAGCCCGGATAGAGAACAAGCCTAGCTAACCCCACACGCGCGTGTGTGTACACCTGCTCAAACAAAGCACAGCAGTGCCGGCAGTGTGTTTGTGTTTGGAGAGAGTCTGTGGTCCCGGCATACACGAGAGAGAGAGCAGATTAAATGAGATGTGTGTGTCAATGTGTCTCTTCAGTTTTCTGCAGCAACTGAGACCCCAAACTACAGGCATCCATCGAAGAAGAGAGACCCGTCACTTTAAACCCGTATAACTTTATGATCACTTACACCACCGTTCACATTTTTGGGGTAAGATTTTTTAAATGTTTTTTTTAAAGAAGCATCTTATGCTCCCGAGGCTGCATTAAATAATAATAGTAAAAACAGCAATATAGTGAAATATTTTCAGAAATGAATAATAACAGTTTCTATTTTCATATTCAGTTGTGGTCAGAATTATTGGCATCCCTGGTGATATGATCAAACATGGCTGTAAAAAGAAATCTGAAATAAAAATAAAACCTTTGATTGAAGTAAAATAATTGAAAGTGCGGGTAAAATCACATTATGAAATAAATGTTTTTCTGTTTGTTTCTGTTTGTCCATCCAACCTGACGATAATTTTTTTATGTTACTTTGGAAATGTAATTGCTCACAGTTAAAAGTCACCCTTTATAAATGTGGCTTGGATTATTTTATTTGGATTACTTTATCAATGTAAAGCAATTTCCTTTTAATTTGATTAGTAACTAATTGAATTACACATTTTACCTCAGTAATACAACTAATTACAATTACATTCATTTTGTAATTTACTAACATAATTTAATTACACATACCATGTTCCATCATATTCCACAAAATTACAATTACAAAAAAAATCTAACTTAATTATTTGTTCTGTGACTTGAGCTTTTAACACTCATTGCTGGGGGAAACATTTCAACTAATAGTAGTTCAAACTAATATAATCTGTAGAATATGTAATTCAATATCTGGCAAATCCTGTAAAGCTTAATTGTTAAACATGTCACTTAAAATATATGTATATGAATTTCTTTGAATTTTTATTGAATTGCAATTCTACTTCCTTTAGTTCAAATTTGAATTGTAATTCTAGATCCTGTTTTTGATATCAATTCAAATTCAACTCAAATTCAAGAATTGAATTGGAATTCAGGAGTCATTCTCAATTCAATTCTGAATTGTGCACAAGCCTGGTGTCAAGAGAGAAAATAAGATAAAATGGCAAAACAATATCTACATATGAATCGTTCAATCCATTGTAGAAGAATTGGGGTACACACAAACACACACACACACACACACACACACTTAAATGACAATTTCCTAATCAACAAATACACAATACAAAAACAAAAGTGACTTTAAAGTAGCAGGAGTATATAGACTTACCTTGTGTTGCGATGAAATGATTGGAGCGCTGATACCCCTGAGATTATTATCAATAAATTGTGTACTGTAAAATGTGTTATGTTAAAAGCATTTGAACAAAATTAATGTATTATTTTCGGACTTATGCCATTTAAAGATGAAGTGAGTAATTTCTGTGCCACTCGCATCACCAAAAAAAAAGCACATAAAAACAATGACTGGTTTCCCTAAGACCACCCCTGTCCTCCACTGTTCAGACAAACAGATAAAGTATTATCCCAGACTCACGCCAGTGTTGTCTCCAAACTCACGCCACTGTTGCAGTTGACTCTGCACATTAAGCTGAGATAGGAGAAAGAAATGATTAAGCTATCCTGTGAAACGCTATTATGAGCAAGCGACTCTGTTACTGAATATGTTCAATATTTCTTTAATAAAACAAAACAAACAAAAAAAAACACAGCGAAAAGATGGATGATATTATTTTCCAACCTCAAGGCCAAAATGTAATCGAAAGGAAAGCAAAAAAAAAAAACGTTTTAAGTGTGGCGGTGAAGAACGTGACCGCAGAACATGCATCTCAGTATCTGAAAAATGGAAGCGTTTATACTTGACATTTGATTAAACAAGCAAACATTCACATGTATCTGTAGTGTGTCCATGTGTGTATCATCGAATATTACGCTTTAAGAATTGAATTTACTCATGTGAAGAAATCCTAGCAAATGTTATCTCTGTTCAAACACACTTCATTCTAAATGCCAAACACCAAATGAAAAGCATGAAATGTCCCGTATCACAGCGCTAGATAGAAGAAGACCATCTCGCGGGTCACCTGTGATTAAAACTACGTTAACCAGCCCAGATTGCAGGATTATGGGCATTTCTCTTCGGATGGCCGGGGGAATCCGTCCAAATTTGTACAAAATATGAATCCGTCATCTCAACACAACTAAAAGGTTTTAGCATTTAATGAGATATATATCAGCCTTTTGTGAAAACAACTTTTGTAGACAAACTCAGTAAAGGCTATGGGAACCTGACGTGCATTTCTCTACAGCCTCTTATTCACACACACTTTTATTATCATTATTAATTATTATTTCCAATACTGATGATCAAAACTTGAATTACACTGAGCTGAATAATGACACTTGTCTTCTGCTTTATAAATCAAATCAGTTTCAGAATTGAGGAACACTGCAAAACCGACACACAGATTAAAGCAGCTTTAATGTTATTTTAGAGATTTAGAGATTTAGATTTAGAGAAACGTCAGGCCTCCTACTGTATTCACCTACAGGAGAAAGACGCAATTTCAACATTCATTTCCTTGATTTCCCTTTCCTTTTATTTGTGCAGAAATAAAATCACACAGAAAAGTGTGTGAATAACAAAAAAACAAGCACTTTAGTATTTAAAAGATGTCTAATAGCCGTCCAAACACAGTCCAGACTTATAGGCTGAAACCAAGCCAAATTTGGCTGTCAATGGGTTACCAACTGTCCCGAATTAGCCGGGATGTCCCGTATTTTGGGCCTAATATATTAAATCGGCCCTGATTAAATCTGATCTAACACTGACTGACAACACCTGAACGAACAGAACGATCAGGACATCAATCACAGACCACACCATTAACAATCTCTACATTGAGGATTAATTATTCTTGTGCTAATCTATTTAATTATTCCTCTGGTCGATCCCGGTTCCCTTTCCCAGTCCGGCCGGGTTTTCATTTCAGCAAATCAGTTTTGGTGAATTCAAACGACGTGATTATTGTTCATGACTTTAACATCGAGCCACGCAAGAAAACATGCAATCTTCCTGAGGGAATAATATGCTGATTTACTGCCCAAGAAAAAAGCTTTTATAACATTATAAATGTCTTTACTGTCACTTTTGATTACTTTAATACGTCCTTGCTGCGAGTTGCGAGTTACAGGGGATGATGCAATGAGATCATTGAAGCCACAAGAAACTCAAGCAACATAGACAGAAAAAGGGCTAGCGACTGGAAAGGTCTGAGCACAGAGTCATGATGGAAGAACAAATGAGTCAAGGACAGATGATAGGAAGACAGGAAAAAGACAAGTACTTACTTCCCTGTTTATCCGAATCTAAGATATCCCAGACACAGAGAAAGAGAAATGGGTGAAAGAGGAGAGAAAGAGAAACAGGCTAATTAAGATGATTAGAAAATAGGAAATAATAAAGACTCCATACTAACTTCACTTCAGACTAACTGGGAAATACAGTTCAGATGAGTTGCCATCCATCGTCCCAGAAAAAAATCTCTTGTTCAGCTCTTTCATTTTTTAGGCACACAGTTAATAAACAGGTGTAAAAAGTTATTTACTGCATCATATTTCAATTTGATGCATCCTAAAGTTGGGTCGCACACCAAACGAGAAGCCTAGACACCCCTTAAGGGTGGGCAAGTTTAGGGGGCTAACGATTTAAAATATTACATTTCAATTCAGAAATATTACATTTCATTCTCAATGCTTCTATAGTTTCAGAAGCCCAAGGGTGCAACTATTGGATGAGTTAAAGGGACAGTACAGCCAAAAATGAACATTCAAGTTGATCCAAACATGTATGCGTTTCTTTCTTCTGCTGAACACAAAATAAGATATTTTGAAGAATTTGGGTAAGAAAACAATATGGAAATCAATGGGGTCCATCAACTGACATTCTTCAAAATATTGTATTTTGTGTTCAGCAGAAGAAAGAAATTGATGGTTGATAATTGATGACAGAATTTTAATTTTTAGGAGAACTATCCTTTAAGGTGACTTTCATGAGATACAGTTTGTGTGTATATAAATATATTATGTCATATTATTTTTGGGTGAACTAAGGTGACTTTCGTGTATATACTGTCTTATTATATACACTGCCTTATTATTATATTTCTGTATATACTGTCTTTCTTGTAGTCTTATTTGGTGTGTGAATTTAACTTGCATCAAAGCGTCAATATTGATTCAAGAATCAAAAACTCAATAAAAATCTTTGGTAATCATATGTGGATTGATTCTTAAGTGAAAATGGCTATTGAGGAGTTGAAGAAAATCAAGATATCTGGTTCTTATAAAAGTGTAGTGACAAAGATTTGCATCGAAGTACACAAACATCGGCCAAAACCCGACTCGAGTACAATCCAAACCAGAAAGAGCAATTCAGGTCTGTTCATTTTGCAAGTGCTGGTCATAACAAAAGAGAAAGCTTCGGCCTTGAATAGAAATACATGCAATTCAAAACCATAATAAAAACTCAGAGCCTTAAAAAAAAAAACACCTTAACGTTAGTCCTGATGCCTTTAGACTCTTTCAAACTACAGAGGTTTAGATAGTTCAGTTCCAATGCATAACCTTCCCACTAAAAGACGAGTCGACGACTCAAAATAGATTTCCTGAGACTCAAACACAGATAGTTATAAGCACAGATAGTCTTACGTGGCACATAGACATGTTTGAAAGTCTTTATCTATCAAATGGTTAAAATTAAGAGCAACGTGTTCAGATTCTGCCTGACAGGAAAGTTAAGTTAAAGTTAGACAATGCAGTCATATGGGATCGTAACCAATAGCTGAAATACTCACATAAAACAACTAGTGTAAAAACTACACAGCAAATTCATCAATGCGCAGCGCTCTCAGCGAGAAAACGAAACGTGTGGTGTGTGTGTGTGTGTGTAACCTTTGATTAACGACAGCAGGAGTGAGAGAAACACAGAGAAGAAAGGAGCACAGAAAACACTTACATCAATGTAGTTTGCATTGACATAGTCCGAGTTAGGATCCGCCAGGAGAGAATGCATTTTGACACGGTGGCGGTCTTCTGTTTACGAGAAGAAAAATGAAGAACAATGCTAGTCAGTAATAATAATAAAAATGATCAGATTCAAATCCTGCTCATCTTTGACACGATCTCCTCTATTTTTAATAAACATTGTACTCAATATTTGTGTATGTTATGTATATTATTCATATTAAAGCACCGAGCCATTATCTTAGCAATGTGTTCTGACAGGAAACAATATTTAACTACAACATCAAACTATAGTATAATCCTCATTAGTATGAATAACACTTACGGCCCAGAAGGGTGTCATGTCGGCCCTTGGTCTTGTCCTTCTTTTCATTGATGTCCCAGCCATCGAAAAAACTCTACAAACACAAGCAGAAATAATCAAATGTGTGTTGGACATCACATCAACTATATATATCTACTATCAATAAAAAGTTTGTGGCCATAAATTGATCAAAAGTGACAATAATGTTACAAAAATATATATTTCATATAAATATCGCTCTTCTGAACATTGTATTTCACAAAGAATCCTAAAAAATGGTTTCCACACAAAAATATTAAAACATGAACGTACATAACTGATCAGAAAAAGTCATATCATCGCAACATCATCAAATGTGAGGCGCTAAAGAAGATCCTGGGAATGACAATTTCTTTTTTTCTTGCTTTTTTCACTGTAAAATATAAGATGACACGTTCTTTTTCACTTCCAAAAACTGTAAAATTACACGACATGTCTTGATGTATTGGAGTTTTTCACGGTATAGTAAGAAAATTTCCCTATAACTATTTAACAGGTTTTTAATCACAGAATTCTTTCTCATTATTATTATTTAATTTTATTTAAAATGGATGTTTATGTACATTTATTTTCTTTCATGTCAGCATGCATTTCATCATATGATGATCAAACGATAAAGAAGAGCATTATATAAGAGCATCCTCTAGAATCAGTCTCCACGCTGGACACACACTTCATGCAAATCGCCATCAGCACTAAATTTGGGGCCATGTTTGTAGTTTTACCTCTTTTCATAATTCCTTTAGTAAAGCTGGAACACATGCAAATAAATTAAACTATCAGTGTGCAAATCATTCTTCTTTATCACTGGGGTCTTGATTTGATGACACCCGTTGTGAGATGGCCACCAGATTTAGCTTTGCATTCCAGTCACTTTTGCAGGTATTGTGTTTTTGCAGGAATTTGACAACAGATTTATCTCTCTTTTGTGTAGGAAAATCATTGATAGTGTCAAATTCAAGACAAGTAGCAGATAGTTTTCAGTGCCTTCTGTTTGTGCATTTACACAGAAAGCTGTGAGGCCTGCCGGCGTATTCCAGCTGTCCAAGTACTTTCTAATTCTGCATAGTTTGAGCTAATGCGTGACAGCTGTTTAGCACACAATCCACCCCGAAACAGGTGAAGTGCAGCACCTGGCAATTACGTCTAAATGACTGTGATTTAAAAAAGACCCCCCAAAATGAGTGCAAGGCACGTTCTCCCACTCGTCCATTAAGTCCCCTTCGCTCTCGCATTTATCAAGTCAGATGCAGTTTACGAGCAGATGCATAATCAGGACGCAGATGTTCGTTTCCGCAGCACTTCTTTTTTCAGGAGTGTTTGAAAATGAGATTTGAGATTTGCTTTGTTCTAAAACAAAATAAAAAAGGAGGCAGAAGTCGGGGAGAAAGTAATTAAAAATATATTGTAATTCGCTCAAAACAACAATCAATAATGGTAAAGCCAAAGCATGTTCCCTTGACTTTCCACGAGGTTCATTCTCGTGTGTTAATGCAGCATTAGACCCACTACATCCCCCTGTTGATCGGTTTTACCATAGCATTCGTACAGTTAAAATTACAGTCATTCTAAAAGGTGATTGAAAAGTCAGCGTGTCAATTTAATCCAATTAACTGATCCAAACATTCATAATTAACCATAACAAGTTATTATTGATTGTAATATTTAGCTTGAGTTCCTTACCCTGTAATATGGCTTTGCAAGTGAAATGGACGCGTGCTCACCTTCGCGCTGGTGCGAGTGTATAAACCAAGCTTGAGGCGCCAGAACTGCATAATACAGGTTTACACCTCACTAAAAAGTCTACATTATAGAATCTATATGCATAGAGTTCAGGGAGACTGCTGTGACGGAGGTGCATCTGTGGGGAAACAGCGCTGTGAGAGAAGCTACTGGTCTGCTGGTCTAGTTCCTTGGTTCAGTGTTCTGGCCATGTAGAGCTCAGCCAGAGAGGGAATATTGCAGTGTTTGCTTTATCGGGACACCAAATAATACGCTGTATGTTTTTGAACCACTTTTAGCAGAGTCAAACAATGACAGAAGAAGCGATTACAGTTTCCGTGGCGTCTCTGAGGAACTGTGTGAGACACGATCGTACATCTGACAGAAGTAATGTTCTTTATCACATCAGAGGGAGAACAGAAGAATAATTTGCAGAATTAGTTCTACATCGACTGGAGAATCTCTGTGTTTCCTGAAATCAATGATGTTTAAAAGGTCTAAGGACATTGTCAGACACATCGATCATTTACATCGCTCTGAAACAATGTTGCTGTTTCTTCTTGGATCAATACACTTTCACACGGCAACATTTGTGTGGCTTCCAAACCTTTTATACAAGTTGCGAGCAGGAAAATCTGTCCTAAATGGGTCAGAACTGTTTCTGGGATTAAGCTCATTACGTCCTCCAATTATGACGGATCAACAAGTTAACTCTGTTGGCTTACTGTGCCATTACATACAATTTTATGAATGTTGACAACAGAACCGGAAGAGAATACAATGCTGAATAAAGTCGTAGTTTTTGTTAATTTTTGGACCAAAATGTATTTTTATTGCTTCAAAACATTCGAACTGACCTACAGATGTCACATGGACTACTTTGATGATGCCTTTATTTCCTTTCTGGACAAGGACAGTATACCGTAATGAATAACTACAAAAGAACCAATGAGTAACACAATATTAACAATCTAGAATCTGAGATGCATATTTGTAAACACAAACCTTATACAACCCTGTCTATCTTTAACTTGTTGCAAACATTCTGAAACATACTTGAATATAAAGTATGAAACAAATATGACACTTTGGAGTGCGTTGAACATAAAAATGAATAAGTCAATCCCTGAATACTGTAATAACTGTATTTGGTCATGGTTATTTCGCTATTTTACACTTAAAGCCCTGTTTTTGTGTGTTAGCACAATCATTCAAACGCATTAAACTTTAGTTTACAAAGACGTGAGTGGTCTGGGGTGTTCACTGATATGCTCACACAAACGTCGCTGCATAATATGCTTTCCAACTGGTTTTATCCTAGTTTTTGTCCGACTCCATTGACTTGACTTGGTAGAAAAGCTACGATAAAACCCGTGTTGATGTTGTTGTGTGAATCTGGTGATAAGCCTATTTTTAGCTAGTCATCGTCATGTTACTGGCATAAAAAAACGGTGCGTCAACAAAATCAATTCGTCATCGTCATCACTGACGAAAACATCGTTATGGAGGAGAAATGAATGTGCCTTGCGAGTTCAGATTAATGACTCAAAAAGAATATCTATATTCCATTAAGAAAGCATGATGAGAGCAAAGAAGAACTGGAGGTATTATTAATATACATAAGTGGAATATTATGAATTTTGAAGGGCTGATATGAACACTCTGGAGTCACATTCTGACATGAGTGTGTGAGTCACGGTCGGCATCTATCCATATAAACACACTTCGAGCATGAGTGTAAGAGCGAGACTACTATTCAGAAGTTGTTTTTCTATTTTTTCTTCACCCAGGCTGCATTTATTCGCCCCAAAATACAGTAAAAAATGGTCATAGTCAAATATTATTGCAATTAAAAATAACTGTTAAATGTTGTGTTATCCTCTGATGGAAAAGCTGAATTTTGTTAATACTCCAGATGCTGATTAGGTGCTCATATCAATGTTGAAAATGGTTGTTCTGTTTTTATATATTGTTGTGGAAACATATACAAATCTATGTTGACATTATAGATATATTTAATTTCACTTTGGAGGCAATAGCTATAACTTCAAATAACTTCTAACATACTGTAATATAGCTGTGCAGTTTGCTAATACCAGTTCTGCTTCGAGTCGAGTTATAAAACTCATTAGTCCGTTTCCCATTGCCTTTTAAAGCGACCCCAGTAGCGATATATTTGTCTAATCCCACATAAGGGACCCTCACCTCGTACTCCTGCTTGAACCCGTAGCCCTCTGCGGTCTTCATCTGGTTGATGTGCTGGAGCAGGTCTGCCACTCTCACTGCCGGGTGGAGCTGCCCCGTGTGGTATGGAGAACTCTTTCTCCTGCAATGCCTTCTGGGAGAACCACCCAGCAGGCTGCTGGACTCGTTTACAGAGCTGCGCTGCTCATCTGAGGATAGAGAGAAAGATGAACACGAGTAGACTGCAGTGGAGCACATAAGGAGCTGCAGTGGGAGCTGTTTCGCTGATGGAGTGGAGCGTAAAGGCCGAGGGACTCGTCTTCCTGACACTGTGACTCGCGGTGAGTGGGAAATACGGCCACGGGACATTTTTATTGATACATTCTGGTCTGTTAATGGAGATTATTGTATACTGACCCTATAATAATGAAAAAGCCTACGTCACACCTCTGCTTATCTCTCTGGCACTGGCCACTAGTTCAAGACACTAGAACAGAATAGAACAGAATAGAATAGAACAGAGTAGAATAGAATAGAACAGAATAGAACAAAACAGAACAAACAGAATAGAACAGAACAGAACAGAGTAGAATAGAACAGAACAGAGTAGAATAGAGTAGAGTAGAATTAGAATAGAATAGAATAGAACAGAGTAGAATAGAATAGAACAGAATAGAATAGAATAGAAATAGTAGAATAGAATAGAATAGAATAGAATAGAATAGAAAATAGAATAGAACAGAATAGAATAGAATAGAACAGAATAGAACAGAATAGAATAGAACAGAGTAGAATAGAATAGAACAGAATAGAACAACAGAATAGAACAGAACAGAGTAGAATAGAGTAGAGTAAGAATAGAATATAATAGAATAGAATAGAACAGAGTAGAATAGAATAGAACAGAATAGAATAGAATAGAACATAGTAGAATAGAATAGAATAGAATAGAATAGAATAGAGTAGAATAGAATAGAACAGAATAGAATAGAACAGGGTAGAATAGAATAGAACAGAATAGAATAGAATAGAACAGAGTAGAATAGAATAGAATAGAACAGAATAGAATAGAATAGAATAGAGTAGAATAGAACAGAATAGAATAGAACAGAGTAGAAAATAGAATAGAATAGAATAGAACAGAGTAGAATAGAATAGAACAGAACAGAACAGAGTAGAATAGAATAGAATAGAGTAGAATAGAATAGAACAGAATAGAACAGAATAGAATAGAACAGAGTAGAGTAGAATAGAACAGAATAGAATAGAAACAAAACAGAATAGAACAGAACAGAACAGAGTAGAATAGAACAGAACAGAACAGAGTAGAACAGAGTAGAATAGAGTAGAGTAGAATAGAATAGAATAGAATAGAATAGAAAAAATAGAATAGAACAGAACAGAACAGAGTAGAATAGAACAGAACAGAACAGAGTAGAACAGAGTAGAATAGAGTAGAGTAGAATAGAATAGAATAGCAACAATGCAAAGCAAAGTTCACCATAAGCGCAGACGTCTGGAGACAGAGAGCAAGCCAGCACATTTACTTTACTGGCACACAACACAACTCATCAGTTCCAGAGGACAGATAAACACAGCGACTGTAGACTGAAGACTGTAGACTGTAGACTGGAGACTGGAGACTGGAGACTGGAGACTGAAGACTGGAGACTGGACACTTGATGGATGGGAGGATCTTTAATATATGAAGAGTTCAGATGCAAAAGCCTCTAAATGCCATTTGAAATTTTCTTCTTTAAGTTCAGTAATTTCACTTAAATAACAATTAATAGGTAATTATCATTGCCATTTAAGTGAAATTACTGAACTTAAATATACAAGCTTGATAAAAATCATCATTAAAGAAGAAAATTTCAAATGGCATTTAGAGGCTTTTGCATCTGAACTCTTCATATGGAGATTACAGTGTGTTAAGTGTCTACTCTGACTAGAAGCATCTCAACCCCTTATCCAATGCATGCATCCCCACAAAAAAGGCAATATCCAAAATCTTTGTCTTGACACTTTTTGGTCCCCATGAGGTACACAGCTTATAAATCATACTAAGTTATTATTATTATTGGAAAATGTGAAAATGCTTAAAGTTTTCTGTTCAGGGATGGGGTTAAAGTTAGGGGGTATAATATATAGAGCCAGATTTGTGCCATTATTTACCACATGGCTCAAGGAGGTTTGAAAAGGCCATCGGAAGCGAAATGATGCATTTTTTTCCAAGTATAATTACAAAACATAACCTTATTAAAAAAAATAACGGCCGTACACAAGTCTAGTTCCCTCTTCGTATGGCCATAACCCGAAGCCAGTGATTATAGTTTTATAAATGTATAAATATGGATCTTTATGAACTCCCTGGAGCTGTATGGATTACTCTTATGGATGGATGCGCTATTATTTCTAAGTTACTATTCACTAACATTATAAAGCTTGGAGGAGTCAGGATATTCTCTGATCGTGTTTGGCTGAAAGAAGTCATATATACACCCAGAAAGCCTTGAGGGGGAGTAAATTGAACATTTTTGAAACTAACCCTTTAACCACGGCTGTACAAAAGCTGTTGGTCAGCACATGCAGACGGAGATGTCATTATTAATGAGTGTTTTGCTTTCATACCTTATGAGTTTGTGCAACAATACAAACTAAGCCCTGAATCATCATCATCATCATCATCATCTTTTCTGTTTATGACAGATGGCAACAGGCATTAAGGTGCAATAGTGCCACCTACTATGTTGAAGTGCCACTGGATTATTTTCAATATTATAACGTGTGTGTGTGTGTGTGTGTGTGTGTGCTCACTCTTGGCAGTGCAGTTGTGTGAATCCATGAAGGTGTGTGCGGTGCGGTCGTCCTGTTGCAGTGTGCTGTGCTCGGTCGTGCTGCAGTCCAGTGAGCCCAGCTTACGCGTCTTCTCTTGACGATATGTCATGACAGCTTTGTTTATGTTCACCTTCTTCCTGCTGCAAACATACAAGAGTCAAACTACACAAAGAAGACTGCGAATGACAAAAAGAGAAACACATACTGAAGAATGCAGTGCCTAGCAACAATTCCCAGTTACTAGGGAAAACAGGCCAACGTCTCCATGATATTCTGGTCTCTAGATGTGATCGGCTCATTCCTCTAATGTAAGCCTAGGGGATTATTATTATTATTATTATTTTCATTTAATTGAAGGGATAAATAAATAGCACAGCTCTCCGTAAGCTGCATTATTTGAGCAATCACACATGAATTAAAATATTACAGGAGAGAAAGATAAAGTGAGAGAACAAGAGAGAGAGAATGCTAAAATACAGTTTGGAGAGTTTAGAGAGTTAATCTCCGACATATCAGAGCTAAACAACAGAGACTGCTGGGAAAATACTGGAACCTGAAGAGAGAATGACTTACGGGTAGTAGGGGTATGAATAGATGTCCCTTCTTCAAAGCATGAGATGGAGAGCATGAGAGAGAGAGAGAGAGAGATATGCAGTGTGTTAGCCTGGTTTAGTTTTATGAACTTCCCACACACACCTCCACGCTTTCCATATTTAAAGACAGTGTGACTCCACCAGGAATGGTGACACAAAATAAAACGTTGTGCTTTTCTAAGTGAGTAAAGTGGATAACTATAATTTATAGCAGAATACCACAGCAAATGATTGGGAACACTTCGACTCGGCGCAGTGATATCATCACTCGTGAAAAGTCTCTCCTCTCCGGAGTGATGATATTATTACTACACCGAGTCGAAGCGCTCCCAATCACTTGCTGTGGTGTTCTGCCATAAATATAGTTACTCATTTTACATGCTTTAATATGCTTATTACTCAAATATATTGAGATAAAGAACTGTCTGTAGTTTGTGCCCGTTTATTACAAATATAAAAACACAACTGGCTTCATTACTTGGCTTTACAATAACTCTCTAATATACTGGTATATAAACTATATGCTGGTAATATACTGCAGTAGGGTTAGTAGGGTGGTCGAGGCGCATATTTGATATAATATAATATCATATGTAATTTTAATCTGAATGTGCAATTGTATGTTATTTCTGAGTGTCGTATTTGTTAACGATATTATTGAGTAATTGTGTTGGCTCCTTTTTTTGGAACTTTGTTATTTACTCAAACTCTCTCTCTTTATATTGTGCATCACAACGTCTGCACTCTAAAATGTATTTTTGGAGTTTTTTTTTCTTACCCAAACGCAGATTTAAGCTTGTTGGGTCGTTTCTATGTTACCCAGCTGTTGGGTTAGTGGCTAGGTCAATGTCACAGACCTTTTAAACAATAAACAGCTCCTACACTCAATACATTATAGCCCATTAATAACCTATTTTCACTCTTCCAGTCAGTCATTATAGCTAAATAAACCCCAGCACTGTGATTTTACTTGTGATACTGCATACTGGCTACTTACTTAAGTCTGTTTTTGCAATAATGACCGTTTGACTGTTAATTATAACACTTATTACACAGCTGATCAATCGCATTGAAGTATTCCAGGGAGAAATGCAATAAAAGTGGATAATGTAGTTAGACAGCAGAGGAATATGTTTAGCTCTAATTCACTCAGTTAAACTCTGAGGAAGATAGATGTGTTAACGTGTTTTTCACTGTTTTTGACTGTCTGGACGATGCAGTGGTTGGTGTAATTTGACACCGTGAAGCAAATATAGTATTGGATTTGATCTTCAATGATCCGAGTGGACACATGCTCACCCTTTCTTGACAATAACCACGATGGCTCCCAGCAGGAGGATGAGAACCACCAGTCCCCCAGCACAGGCTCCCAGAATCAGCCCCATGTCCTCGGCATGCTGGGACACCTCCAGAGCGTGCTTATGGTCCCTGCAGGCACCTGACAGTCCACACAAAAAATAATGAATGCTTGTGAGATAAAAGCAAATCACATCAGATCAATGATGTACTATGTGCTCAACAAACACTATTTTAAGATAGCAACACTGCTAATTGGGGCATCAGTGGCATATTTGGGAAGTTAAACCATTTTAGTAGATCAGATCTTTTGTGTCACCCGACTCCCCATGGCATTTTTTCTTCATAAATTGTTTTAGTAAAAATATAAGTGGGTATATATTAATACTATTGCAATTATACTGTGCATTTACATTTTGTTCTTATATTTTCCACAAATATATTCAGCAGCTATTTTCAGCATTAATAAGGATTTTCTTTTTTCCTTAACTTTAAATCAGCAAATTAGAACGATTTCGGAAGGATCATGTGACACTAAATACTGAAGTAATGGCTGCTGGAAATTCAGATTTGACATGCATTAGGAATACATTACATTTTAATTAGGGCTGTGCAAAAATTAATTGCGATTAATCGCATCCAAAATAAAAGTCTGTGTTTACATAATATATTTGTGTGTGCCGTATATATAAATACACACACATGCATGTATATATATTTAAGAAAATGTGTTATTCATATATAACATTTTTATATTTATATAATATAGATTATGTATTTATATATATATATATATATATATATATATATATATATATATACTGTATATATACATACACACACAATTTTGTGTATACAAACACACAAAATCTTAAATATATACATGCATGCATAGGTATTTATATATACAAAATAATTATATACAGCACACACAAATATATTATGTAAACACAGACTTTTATTTTGGATGCGATTAATCGCAATTAACTTTTGCACAGCCCTAATTTTAATATATTAACATTGTAATACAATTTCACAATGTTACAGTTTTTTTACTGTATTTTTTATAAATAAAGCTTTTGTGAGCATATGATACTTCTTTCAAAAGCATAAATAAAATTATACTGACCAACAACTTCCGTGCATTTCTGTTACCGAACTATATCCGCCTGACAACAGTGGCTGAAATATTTATTCTTCAAAAAATAAATATCACTATATTTCAGAGCAAATATATAAATAGCCAAATATACATTTTAATATATTCAAAAGTCAAAAAATATTAGTATATAATTTTCCCAGTCGAATAGCTAACAATACTACAGTGCACCACATTATCTGAAGCAGCAGATGGGCATTAGAAGAACTGTGGCCCGGTAATGCTGGCACACTCCTGCATGTTAATCTGCTAAAGGTACTGCATGGGCTGGAGGAGATGAAGAGACGCTTTATCTGCATCAAGCAGCACATGAACACGCCACAGGGGAGAAGCTCAGCCCGCGAGCGAAAGCAGACCGGGGTCGGGTCAGGTCAGGTCAGGTCAGAGATGCGGGTCAGGTTGTGCTGTTTATGGAGAGGTCCCGCTCCTAAAGCTAAGAATGGTGGTCCTATTTGAACTTTTAAAATACACTTTTTACAGCCAATTTCATGACTGATTGTCTCCTTTCATGAATATTATGCCATATGGGCTTCCTGTTCCTTGAAAATAGCACAGATTTAGCCAAAACTGACATCATTTCAGCTCTAAAATGATACGGTTGCAGTCTAGAACATGCAGTGCCGCTGTCTAGAGTCTTAAAAGCACCACATTTTTGAAAGTTTGCCCAGTCTTGAAGTCGGACCTCTTATTCCAAACGGTTTGGGCAAAAACAACATTTTTAAAAAAAAATTTATTCAACCAGGAACAAAACTGCCCATCCATCAGAAATCATCTTTCAATCATCTTTTCAAGAATTATGGAATTACAAGATTGCTCACTACTGCACTATGTTGGTTTGTATGCATGTCTGACTGTTTAATAAAAAAAAAATAATAATAAAAATATTTATACTTATATATTGAGAAAAAAAAACTGCTATAGAAGTATTGTTGATTATTAGTTCATGTGACTGATGTATAACGCAAATTGTGTGACATAACTTTTGGACAGCCAAAAACAAGAAAGAACCAATGAAATAACTGATGATGACACAATAAATCTTTTCCTATCAAAAAAAAAAAAAAATCATCTTTCAACATCTGTCCAGGGACGCAGATGCGCTACTAGTCACCGGCTCGAGAAAACTGGTGGACGTGTTGAACGTGTTCCTCAGATTTTATGGGTCTCTGTGTCTCCATTTTCTCTTCTTATAAATGCAGTCAATTTCCAAACAGCTCCAGAGAACAGCATGAAATCTCTCTCTCGATTAATTTAAGCCCCTGCGGCGCCTCAAAATGCAGAAATTGCCATTTGAAAAATCACAGGGATGGAAGTGCATCTTTATACCATCCGCGGTATGGACATTAATTACAATATCATCCACTAAATAAATACTTAAATAATAGAATATGGCAAATAAAACAAAGAGTCTAAATAGGCATTCTGCTGATGGGCTGGAGTATAAGAGTATAGAATATCCAGCAATGGCAACATGTTCTTTTTTTGCCATGTATCGTCATGAAGATGAACTCACAAACTAATTAACAATATAATGAAGTAAAAATAGACACTCGCTCAACTGCTAACAGCAATAGCCCTGAATAAAAGCACAAGTCTTATTTATAATTCACTGTATTTTGACACTCCACTGTAGACTTTTGTACATTACTGCTATTTTTGTCGTTTCCTCGCAGAGACGAGCAGTGAAAGGTCAGAGACGTCTCTGTCGCAAAGCCTAGAAAAATCATCGTATGCACGCTTTGGATGTCTTAAGCGCATTATTTATCCCTATTCTTATATTGTTGAAAACACTTATGTGCATTATTGCCTTGGTGTGCATTATTTTACACTAATTCAATAGGCCATCATCAATGATTCTGCTAAAACCATAATAATCGTCAAGATGTCTGTCTGTTTTTTGTCCTTAGAATTTGTCTAATACTGATTTCTTTAATATCTCATTCCAAGCATCCATTGCTGAAATGTGATTTTAGAGCTGAGAGTAACGGTAATGGTGGCTCGAGCTATTGATTTGCGGCTGTGTGTGAATTAGCCAAGGCTCTGTTTGGCAGCAGCGTCTTTACTAATAGCAAATCTGTTAGTTTAACTGCTGTAAAAACAGTGATGTTACCACCTTGCTACAGAGAAGCAAAACTATTTAATGGGTAAAGATGCGGGCTAGCAGCGACAGCCGGTTTCTGTGCATGTGTTTCCATGAGTGTGAGTGTATCACACTATTCTGTGTGTGTGTGTGATTCAGTAAAATAGAAAAGGTGTCTGAAAGTTGCGACTGTTTTTTTTTTTTTTTTCAGTTAGTTTTGTGGTAATTAATTATTCACTTTCAACAAAGCTCTGTCTCTCTGTGGTGATGTTGATCATTAGACCAGAAACAGCCTCACAACTCCTGAATCTTGAACTCTAGTCGCAAAAACGTCTCTAAAACAACAGTGTCGTTGTTGCCGCAAAGATTTCCAAATAGTACTCACTTCATATTTTTTTAAACGTCAAATAGATTAAATATCAGCAAAAATAGGCTGTTAATGAAATAAGTTGTTTCACAAAAGCATACTGAAGCCTTTCCTGCATTGACATCCATAAAAAAGACTTGACAATCTTGTTTCCCTGCCAGTATAAAGCTGCTTTTTTGCTGACCTGGGAAATAAAGTTTAAAGGGGCTTTGGAACTACTCCATGTGTCCAAAAAAAATTAAATAAAAATAATTACACACATTTGAACGTCCATCAACCAATGTATTCAGCAGCCCCGTGGTGCAATCAGTCATAAAAAGTATTTCTAGAAAAACAGTATTTCTTATACTGTTAATGTGACCTTCCCCAATCACTGCAGACACAAGCAGCAGAGCACCATTCATTTATAACAATGCATATTTTGAATGCAATAAGTATATTTAGATAAAAACTATTTAATTGAATTAGTTTAAATAACACTTCCTCAAGAAAATGCCTAGTTCAGTCATGAAAATGGTTGTTCTGTCATGAAAATTACACAGTACAGTTACGTTCTTTCATAGACGTATTCACTTTTAAACACAAGTCTATAAAGACTATAACTGTACTGTTTGCTATAAGGAGAATCATAATGCTTACAAACCATTTTCAGTAACAACTAGATTTGAAAAGAAAAAAAAGAAGAGGAAATGTTGTTGTTTGTTGTATACAGCTGCCGATCAGTGTTTTTCGCATTGCAAACACATTAAATGTGAAATCCCAATGAGCCTGATCTCACCGTCGGGATGCGTTCTGTTATAGTGTAGTGTGCACTGCAAACTGAGTCTGTGTGAAACTGGCGTTGCCAAAATAAAATATTTTAGTATGTCGATGCATTTACAATTTGTAAACGCATCTATGATGCTTAAAAATGTCTGGGTAGACCAGCATGTTTTGGAACGGTCTTCCCTGAGCTTTTAGCTTTATCTTAGTTGTCGGCCTGTTCATATTATGTTCACTCTAAAAAATGCTGGGTTATTTTAACTCAACTTTGGGTCAAATATGGACTAACCCAGCCGTTGGGTTAATTTTTTACATTACATTTTTAACCCAACATTTTGGGTTTGTCCATATTTGACCCAAAATTGGGTTAAAACAACCCAGCATTTTTTAGAGTGTTGGCTTACTATGCCGAGCTTGAATGAGAAACGATGATGTAATATCTGAACAGTGTTGGGTAAGTTACTCTAAAAAAGTAATTAATTACTAGTTACTAATTACCTCTTCAACAGTGTAATTAGATTACTGTAGTAATTACTCTCTCCAAAAAGTATTTAATTACTTTTAATTACTAATTACTTTCAAAATCCCATATCATTCTCAACCAGCTGAATAATACAAGGATAGACATGAATCTTGTTTTAATTCTTTCAAATAAATACTATAAAATTACAATTATTCTTAAACTTCAAAGGTGGAGAAGGTTACATTATAAAAACATACTTTTTAACATCAGACAATACATTTTGATGTTAAACCCACTATTGTTTTCTGTCTGATCTCATGAAATTTCACACTTTTTTCATACATATTTTACAATAATTCATACGAATTTGTACGAGTGCGGTCGTACAATTTAGACACCTCATAAAATGCATACGAATCGCTGTGAGATCGGATTGATCTATACACACAGTATTTACCTCAATTACATCTGAAGTAACTGTAATTAAATTACTGATAAATGAAGAGTAATCCCTTACTTTACATTTTCAAGGGAAAAGTAATTAAATTACAGTAACTAATTACTTAGTAATTAGTTACACCCAACACTGTATCTGAATCACAGTTCTGGCTGGATTGTGCGCCACTGTCACCACTTGCGTTTTGAGAGACTGCCATATTAGGGTAACAAATGTGTTTTCATCGCTTGTCAAAGTGTGAGTGAGTCCGCAACAGGGACATATAGTTATCATTGATGTATATGCGCTGTCATTGAGACATGCCCTCAAGTGTGTAAACAGTGCAGATAAAGAATGAATTACCTTTACGAGCGATCCGAATGCAGTTGATCCTGGTCTCCTGAGGGGAAAACAGAGAGTGTGTGTTATAAGGGCGAGAGTGTGTGTGTGTAAATATCTGATTAGAAATCCCATAGGCAGTCAGGGATAAATTAAAATGCCTAAATTGATGACATCTCCTAGCAAATAAATAAGAACATTATGCTAGACACAGAGCACAAAGTCAGACACCTTAAATTAAATAAAACCTCATAAGTGACAGAGATATTTAGTCCTCAGGGGTGGGAACGCTGATCCTGGACCAGCCACTGTCCAGTTTAGCTACAACCCTAATCACACTCACATGAAGATAGTCAGTCATTTTATTTAATTTCAAATTATATATAGACTCATTTATTCAGCTAATCTTTTGTTTTTAGTCAGAGTTTTATAAATATGATTGAGAGTATACTCAAAGTCAATGTGTCCCCTTGATGTCTCCAAGGCTAAAAATACTTGTCAAAGAAAGTACACCAATTGAAAGAAATTGTTGACAAAACAGGACCTGGTATAAAAAAAATGCAGAAACTGTTGCAAGTCTGCTAATCAGTGAGATTTGCTAAAGTTTCTGACAAACTGGATGGGTTTTAAACTCCAAAGAGAAAAACTCTACTTGAGAGATGCAGAATGGGTGATTTGATAATTACTTTTCCCCTGATATCAGAATTATATCTGATCTGGAAAAATCCACTTAAAATAGTTCATGGAAAAATAGATTTTTTACAGGTAAAGGAAAGCTTCTATAAAAATACATTGATTAATTATCTTCATAAGCTGATGAAGTGAGTAGAAACAAATTAGAAGTGGCAGAGGAAATTGTAGTACAGAAATATGGATGTCAAGTAATGAACTTGGTCAATCCAAATTGGCGATTTATATTTCCAGAAGAAATAACTCAGAACAGAGAAATGGACATCACTTTTGATCAGTTTTGAAGAATGTGTTCAAATCAAGATTTAAATGATTACAAACTGATGAATGCAACCAGTCTTTAAAGTATTGAACGGTGTTGTGAATTCAGTGTGTGTTCTGTACTTAATGAGTTGTTTTTTTATATAATAAGGTAGTATAAATTATGCAGTGTGTTATTTTTTTCAGCCCGTTCTCATCCCAAGCTTTTGACCGATCGTCAACATCCGACGTTTAGATGACGCTCTCCTAGTGGTCTAACCCTAAACCTACCCCAGACCTACTGTAATAAACCTACCCGCGTCATCTAACTCTGATGATAAAGGTAAAGCGTCACTGAGATGACACCCAAGGATCGTCATCTAACTCATGCTAAACACACACAAAGGATGAGCTATAGAGACATATTATCAAATTAGGATTTACAGGTACAAATTGCAGCTTTATGTGGCAATTATGCAAATTGATCTACTTAGATTAGAGTCAAGACCTTTCTGACCTGAACTGCAGGTAAATTGCCTTTAAATTGAAAATCAGCTTCGAGTTGCGTTCTCCTCTTTTTGAGCGGGGCAGATGTGACATATTTACCACCACATTTTAACGTCATTAAAACATGTGTTTCACAGCCTCGGTTGAGCACTGAAGGGCACTATTAAAATTAATCACTTTCAGATTTCTCCTTTACAAGTGGCATTTACAATATGGCCAATATTCAGAATGAGAAAGTGTCTGTCTGTCTGTCACAGCCACAAATGTGACTAACTCGTACATGTGTCTCTGGGGTGATTTAACAGCCACTAAATTAATAATTCACTGAAGAAAATGTCAGAGGAGATTTCCAGGGCATCTCCCTAATTGTTTTCAATGCTGGGTTTGAGTGAGCTATATCAGGTTTTGGGTGGTTTTCATCTTTTGAATCCACTCTAAAAAACCTTGGGTTATTTTTTCTGCCCAAATCCATGGTTTGGATCATTTTTTGGGGTTATTTTTTCAGTATTTGGCTAGTATTTTGTTCTTGGCTTTCGGGCAGTTTTCGAGATGCTTGTCCAACTGGCTAATATGTTTAAACCTTAAGTAGCCTTGCTGTTTTCTGTGTTGCAGTTTGTTTTTCCACAACGGGAGAGTTCTTACAGATTTATGAATGAACTGCCTGTTTTTAATTATTCCTGGTTTACTGATGACTTTTGACTTCCAACATAACAATCCTCATGATCACATTTATTACCTCAACAATAATTAAATCTAATTACTCTTCAACAACGATCCCACAGAAATATACAGAGAGTTACAACACAACAATTGTAAAGATGTCTGCGTGCTGGTTTTTCCAGCGTATACGGTCTATAAGGTCTCACTCGAGTCTACAGCACAAATGGTGCGGGGTGTAATGAGGTTTAAAACTCAGTAATAATAGTAATAATTTCTGTTATATTCTAAAATGTATTTGTCTTTTTTTAAACCCAACCCATAGAGCTGGAGTACGCCACTTTAGTCAGAGTAATTACTGTAAACACCTAATTATCAGGAATAATTGACAAAATAATAACCGCGCATTTGGTGTCACTCATGTTAAAAAGATTTATTCAGGCTCTTTGAGATGGAAATGTGTGGGTCAGATAAACAAAAACCTAAATGAATTTGACTCGACTTGTGCTTGAATAAACTGACTTTCAATGGTGCGTGTCAGGCCGTGAGAGTGGTTGACGCTACTGTTTATGGTCAATCGTGTATTCATTACTTCCCATTAGAGGAGGGATTTTCAGCACAATCCTATTATTGGATACAACGGCTCCTTTGTTTTGTTGGTAATGATGAGACAGCTGGCCAACATGAGTGTGTTTGTGTTGTTCTCTAAATCTATAACCCTCCATTTTACAACAGAGACACTACAGAGTCTGTGACAAGGATGCAAAATACAGAAAGGCCTCATTAGAATGACAATTTGATGATCAAATGCTTGTGAAAACTTTCATGTACCGCAATCTGGATCACCTCAATACATCAGACTAATGGCAGCGATGCTGTGCTCAAATGATTCATGTCTTTTATTTCTGCATATGATTTTCTTGTCTGCTGTCTATTTCCCAAATCTCCACCCAATATCACAGTTAAATGCAAATAAAGAACAGGTTACGGTGTATTACGCGGGCTTGAAGAAGTGTTGAACAGTCCTACATCTGGAGGACAATCTTCCAGCAGAGATTAGCTCTAGCCCAAACTAAACACACCTAAACCAGCTAATCCATTCAGTGTCACAGCACGAGTCTGTGTCTAAAACCTGCGTGACACACTCTGTGCTTCGAGAGTGAGATCAATTAAAAGGGGAGAGCTGCTTATTCTCGAGTGGAAACAGCCATTTGTCTCAGTTGACCACGAGTGATTGGATCACTGATCTCACCGAGAGTCAAACTCCCAGACCGTCCAAGAGAGCAGAGATGCCTGAGACAGGTTCATGTGCTAATGTCTCTAGTGAGAAATGATCTGATGAGAACTGAATGAAAGATCCATCAGTTTAGTCTCAAATATCTGATTCGCTGAAGATGGGGGAATGTGTTGCCTTGCAAAGAGTTGAGAAGCTGAATAGACTTAAATAAGATCTGGTCTGAAAGCACTGAAGATGAAAGAGAAGATGACACACTCCACTGTAAAAGCTCTTTTGACAGACCTCTACCTCTTTATCACTCACAGAACGAACTGGCCATTGTCAAATAGCTGTGACACATATATGATTCAGATCAAATGAACCTTGTCAAAGTGTCAACAACATAATTGTCAAAGACTCTCGCCTGCAATTGCATGTAATAGAACAGAAAGGTACATTGCCTGCAGTACTGAAGAAGCTGATAAATTGTTACCATTGATAGAAATGAATTGATAGGAAATTGGTATCTTGTTGCATCAATGCGAGCGAAGCCACTGGGGAATGTCAGAAAAAGTCATTTTTTGGCGGCTGAAGCTTCTACATCCATGAGAAGGACCGGAGAAGACGCCTCTGGGGTCGAGGACAGATCCGAGGTAGCCATCGTATTAAGTTAATTATGTACAGTGTACATGTGCAAGAAGTCTCAGAATGATCCAGGTGGTCCACAGTTTGGGAGACTCTCCTGTATATACGATTCCTACATTTCAACACAGTCATGACTTAGTCATTATTGTAGCATTTTTGCAGCTGATATATCAAGGCATTATTTTAGTCTCAGGAGCTCCACTAAATACTGTGTTTCTTTTGTTGAAGTGCAACCAGTGTTGGGTAAGTTACTCTAAAAAAGTAATTCATTACTAGTTACTAATTACCTCTTCAACAATGTAATTAGATTACTGTATTAATTACTCTCTCTAAAAAGTGTTTAATAACTTTTAATTACTTTCAAAATCCCATATCAATCTCAACCAGCTGAATAATACAAGGATAGACATGAATCTGTTTTAATTCTTTCAAATAAATACTATAAAATTGCATGAATTATCCTTAAACTGACCAAGGTGGAGAAGGTTACATTATAAAAACATACTTTTTAGCATCAGACAATACATTTTGATGTTAAACCCACTATTGTTTTATGTCTGATCTCATGACATTTCACACTTTTTTTCATACATATTTTACAATAATTCATATGAATTTGTACGAGTGCGGCCGTACGATTTAGACACCTCATAAAATGCATACGAATCGCTGTGAAATCGAATTGATCTATACACAGTATTTACCTCAATTACATCAGAAGTAACTGTAATTAAATTACAGATAAATGAAGAGTAATCCCTTACTTTACATTTTCAAGGGAAAAGTAATTAAATCACAGTAACTAATTACTTAGTAATTAGTTACACCCAACACTGAGTGCAACACAGTGTTTTTCATGGTTTTCATTTTGTTCATATTATTGATATATTTGAAGGTCTTCTGCTGTTCTCCTTGGGTTCTTTCTCTCTTAGAAGAAAAGGTTCTATATAGAACCTTAAAAGGTTCTATCAGCGCTATGTATTTGGAACCCCTAAAAGGTTCTATAAACACTCTTAAAACAGGGTTCTATATAGAACCCTGGGGTTCCAGACTTGGCCAATAGAACCTTTTACCAAAAAAAATGGTTCTATATAGAACCTTAAAAGGTTCTATCAGCGCTATGTATTTGGAACCCCTAAAAGGTTCTATACACACTCTTAAAAAAGGGTTCTATAAAGAACCCTGGGGTTCCATACTTGGCCAATAGAAACTTTTACCAAAAAAAAAAAAGGTTCTATATAGAACCTTAAAAGGTTCCATCAGCGCTATGTATTTGGAACCCCTAAAAGGTTCTATACACACTCTTAAAAAAGGGTTCTATAAAGAACCTTAAAAGGTTCCATCAGCGCTATGTATTTGGAACCCCTAAAAGGTTCTATACACACTCTTAAAAAAGGGTTCTATAAAGAACCCTGGGGTTCCATACTTGGCCAATAGAACCTTTTACCAAAAAAAATGGTTCTATATAGAACCATTTTGGAGTTCCATATATGAAGCGGGGGATGGAACCATTTCTGGTTCTAAATAGAACCATTTCTTCTAAGAGTGTAGAGTGATTTTCAGATATGCCCTCTCCAGGGTAGAGTACCAGCAGTCCAGACTTTTCTACATTTGTATTCAGGGTATCAGGGTATCTTATCCAAGTCTTTAGCGATGCTTTAATAGCCGTTGCCAGATTTGTGCATCTCCGTGATGTCCTGTGAAAGCTTTTGGGAGAGGCTTGGTTCAACAGATTTGTTATTGTGTGCCTTTATAGGCACCTGGGCAATCAATACTTCCCGCTAATCTACATAATTGTTTTCAAATATATATATATATATATATATATATATATATAATAGAGATGCTGCAACACTGAAGGATGCTGTGAGATGCTGCCCTGTCAATTACCACTCAATGTATTCAGTAATATTCTGATAAATCTAGTTTAAAGACTCATTTTTATACTCTGGCATTTGAGTGATGCCATCTCTATTTGTATGTGTATGTAGAAATGTTTTCTTAATAGCCTATTATCAGTAGCATTTCTCTATTAACTTATTTGACCATCTGTAAAGCACTTTGGATCAACAAACGTTGTGTTTTTGCAGTGCTCTATAAATAAATTGCCTTGACTTTTACATTTTGACTACATATATGACCCACTTTCAATGAAGATGAATAAAATGAAATGGGTGAAATGCTCCTTTAAAAGTCACTGTCTTCTCTCTACATGACAGGATATTTGGAATAAAACAGTTTGTGTTTTAAAACATGAGCATTTATTGGGCAGATGGGATCACTCACCCCTCTGAAGTTACTGGAGGCCTGGAAGTAGATTATATAATTCTTGCTGGGGTCAAGAGGTGTGTTCCAGTAGCCATTGTAGGTGTGGTTGTCCCCCACGGTGAAGGGCGTGGCCTCGGGCAAACTGCTGGGTGGGAGCTCAGCGGTGTAGTAATGAGATGCACCGCTTGCCCCTCCCCCTGGAGTCTCCCCGTGGGAGGAAGGAGCAGGGAAACACTCCATGTGACCCAACTCCCTCCGCCTCACCTGTCTGGAGCTGTCCTCCTCCACCACAACCACATGATAGGTGCTGTACAGGAGGATATGACGGCCGTTAAGACTCTCAGCTGTTCTGGAGTGTGCTAAACTGTATTTGCAGGCCTTGACACTGTAGAATCATGGCCTCATGTGCTTAATGAAACAATAAACCAAAAATAGCCTATACTCTAGGGCTGGGTAATAAATATCGATTTCTCGATATTAATCGATTCTCATTTTTACGATCCGATATTGATTCTTAAATCTCAAGAATCGATTAGTCATCCTGTTTCATTTGAAGGAATGGATCATTGTATCGCGGCTGCGCGCATTCAAAAAAAAAATCGCAATATCTTTGTCCTTTGTTACTATTGATATGAAACAAAGTCTCAATTTTCAAATTACGTCCATTTTCTTTAGAAATTCAAAAACATAAATAGCGTTTTGTCGCTGTGGCGTGAGATCGTTCTGGAGAAGCAGCAGCGCTGATCTCTCTTCCGGCTTAATAATACCAGTCACAGCGCCAAATAAACATGAATGAGCATCTGAAAGTGTGTTAAAGATAGAGGACAACTTATCCAAATCCGGATCATGTCACATTGATTCGCTCAATCAGCGTTTCAACCGTGGAAAGACGTCAGTTAAACAGCTTGTAATCAATGTATCGTCATATTTACCTCAGAAAACACACATAAACTCGTTAGTCAGCTAGAAAAATGTTTAATGCATATTTGAATAAATCTGGCAAGTTGACAGCCACCATTTACCAATATTGTTTATATTTTCTTATTATAAAAATAAATAACGGTGTAATTTAAGTGTTTGTATAGCTACAAAACAGTTAATTATTACCTTAATATTAGGCTAATGAAGCCTATAGGCTACAACTAGACTCCCATAGTTTACAGCATTTAAGAGATTTGATTCCCTTGGGAAAAATGGCCATTTATTGTAACTGATTTCCAAAATAATCAATATTGAATCGAATCGGAATCGAATCGAATTGCGAAATTTGTGTCAATACCCAGCCCTACTATACACCACAGTATAAAAAGGCTCATACAAAAAGGCTCATAGTATATTTCCCACATGATTTTAAAGATTCAAAACCAAGCAAAAATATATAAAACGCTATGTAGTTTCTGTGCAATTAGCTCATAATTCAAAAACAAAACAAAACAACCTTGCTTTATTGGGACTAATATGCATTTAATGTTTGGACATCTGTATTATTGCCATCTAAGAGCCTTGTCAACTGCAGATATATATTTTTAGCAAATATTGTGAAAAGAAAACCAAATTGTTCACATTATATCGTATTTATTACCTAACAGGTGCTCCTCTCCCCAAGGCTGGACGCAGCAGGACTGTGATGGTGCTCTCAGATTCACTCAGTGGAGACGGGACGTCTTCATAATCGAATGCAGGCGCTGAGGGGGAAAGAAAGAGCAAACGGTATCTGATCTGCCTCAAATGTGAGTAAGAAATCTTTTTATGTGTGCCAACGTAAATGCCGCCTGAGTGACTTGAGATCTGGAGCAGTGAACAAATCATTATTCTGTGCTGGTCCGCGAAACTCCTTCAATGATTTGACTATGATTCGGTTGCAGTGTTTCGCCTCACTGGAGGGGAAGATTATCAGTAAACAAAGACTTAAAATACACATTTATAATTACACAAAGATGAGTAAATAAAACACAAGTTTCATATTTCATCTATTTGAAATAAAAAAAACACTCCTAGCAACTCGAACACACAGAAAAATCTTTCAAATTAGTCTTAGTTTTCACTGAGTTGCTCCACAGAGAACAGACACGAGGGCTGTGAAACATGATGGAGGCGGATGAGAGCGATCCGCAGTCCTTTATACGTCTCTGGAGGGGTGAGCGCAGAACAGACCTCCTGCTCCCATTCCCGCTTATTACAGTATTTGAAGTCAATTAGTGTGCTAGTACAGGGAAACGGCTCAATGTCTCAGCCTTCAGCACACTAAAACAAGCAGAAGATGTAGAGTACAGAGACTGAGAGCCACCATCACAGCGCTAGTGTTAGATCCGTTTCAGATCCACATGTTTAATTGAACTAACCTCAAAAGAAACAGACAAATAAGAAAAGTTTTGCTCATGCCTACAGCTGGGTTATCGTGTGAGAAAGAGAGGATATTTAAGGGAACATGTAAAAATGATTAACCATTTAACCTGTTTGACACAAAACAGGGAAGATATTCCCCCTTTTTAACTAAACGGATGGTTTGCTCGGGCTGTTGATCTGCTGAACATACGCATGCACGGGTAAACCTTCTTATACATATTTCTGCTGTTCAGAGAGTCCATCTTGCCAAAAGAATAGCTTTTGCCTAGCTTAGATTATATATAAATAAAGTCTGAACCAATTAAAAGGCCCTCACATTCATTCCAGAGATAAAACTAAAGCCCATCTGGCTTCTAGTGGGGAAATTATAATTAAGCATAATCATATTTCCATTAATCCCTTGTGGCAGTGCATATTTGCTCACCTGAGATGTTGGTAGTGATTTCGGTCAGGGCGGTCTGGCCAAAGCCCTTCGCGGTGCGGGCACGGACAGACACCAGGTACGTGGTGCCAGGGTGAAGCCCGGAGAACATGTGATACGTCTCGTTCTTCAGTTTGGAGACAGTGCGCCGTGGGCCGGGGACGTTGATGCTGGGATCGGACGATTCGATGCTCTGGTAGCTGATCTAAAGACCGATAGCAGACCGTGAGTTCAGTGGAAATGATGGAGGAGCAGCGTTGATGATGATGATGATGAACCCTGTGATGATGCAGTCTTACATACAGCAACTATACGTCACTTGATCCACAGCAAAACCAAATCTGTTTTTTTGAAAGCACATTTTAAGCTACAAAGATTGTTTCATGCAAGAAACTGCTTGTCAATATAACAAAATGAGTAGCATTGATGAAATGTTAAGGGTATGGAGGTATAAAACAAGTAATGTCAAGCCTAAAACATCGATGTGCATTCAAACATAATATTTCTAGACTCATTTACTCCCCAGTGAGATCTTGCTACTCCATTTTCGTTCATGCAAGAGGACTCACAATGTATAAAACATTTAATATATTTCAGATAAAATGCAACTCAGCAGACATATATGTTTTCATTCAATTGAGTCAAGAAGTTATTTCAGTAAATTCCTGGTCCTAATGACAATGATTCAACGAATAATCTGTTTCTAAACCTGTCTCTATTGTATGGTGACATACTGTAATAATGAGAGGATATTTTAACTTCAGTAGATCCACAATTAGATCTCTCATTAAAAGTAAAATATAAACAACTAGATCGATCCTCTCATTAAAAACAAACAAAAACAACAACAATTCAGTTCTAGTCCTGCAGAGCTACATTCTTGAATAGATTATCTGTTTATGTGTGGCCCTTTTAAAATGTCGTCTTTCGTCCATATACAGAGACACCGCTCTACAGTAATCTGAAAGTGATTGCAGTACCAGTTTTGGCCACAATCTTACATACGGCTCCTTTAAAAGAAAACTCGTCACTAATACAATTTAGCGTGATTTAGGAATACTTCTAGCGGGAAGATTAAATTATTTGTGAATAGGGCCCCTGAACAGAATCTCTATATAAAGATATCTATACAAACTTTATGGTGTAATAAAACCCCCATATTTCAGCACTAGTAGACGAAGTCACTCCTCAGATTTGAAATTACAGCGTTCATTACAAGCTGTTTGAAGAATCTGTTGAAACTGCTCCACTATATAATACTCGTATAATATTAATCTTAATGTTAGAGGAGCCACCGAAAAGAGTGAATAATTTATCTTGCTTAATTAGTGACACAAATATTGCAAAAGTACTAGGACTCGAAAGCTTGAAAATGTTTGCCCTGTCTAAGTACCTGTGAATTTAAAACAACCAACCTTAACTGAATAACAGAGAAACTTCATCATCCCTCTCAATATCAACTTTATATAAATTACATGCTAAATATAATTTTATATAAATATATATAAAAAAAAATGCTAATCCAACATATCAACCACTGAAAAATGGTTGTATTACCACAGTGAACATAGAGCTCACACACGCCACTACCAAACGAGTGTAAGCGGAAGTGTACATGTGTGTATGCTGACAGACAGCAGAGGAAACTGAAGTGGCTGAAGCGCTTATATATGAGCAGACTAAAGCACTTAAACACTATTGCCCCGTCCGACAGCCTCTGCAAGGCAAAGAAGCAATTAATGTATGTTTGTTCCTCGACTAATTGAAGCCTGGAGAATGAACTGCTACATGATTAGCATAAGAACACCTCGACTCTGTGAAGGCTGAGATAGTTTACACACACACACACACACACACACGCACACACACACACACACTAATGGCTCTCTGACTGGGAAGGAGAGTGGGGGATTAAAACAAACCCCGCAAGAAACACAAGAGAAAATGGATTGCACTTGTAATTAACTAACCAACACAATCGCACGAAACGTTGTATGCATTTGCACATAACATGTATTGATTTATAAATAACTTGCGTCTCTATAGCCGTAAATATGTAAATGTTTACAATTTAGATGTTGCCGATGTCCACACTGCATGTTTCAAAAAGGACGAAAAGTTTGTTTTTGTCCCTGTAAATGTTACATACGGGCGTATATACTTCTGTATAAACAGTGAGACGAGAATGCGGAAACAGCTCGACAATCCTCCGAACAAAACTGAAACTTTAGGAAAAAGTTCAAAATTCTTGATTCGTGAGTGAACAAACCCTTCAAAGGACACACATTAGAAAATACCTAAAAACTGTATTCAATGAGTGCTTGTAAAATATGAAGAAAAAAAAAAACGTTATAACTGCACTTTTTCGATTTGAAGTACATTACAAGTACTTAATGTAGATAATATAATATATTACTTGTAATAAACTTTAAAGGGTTAGTTCACCCAAAAATCTAAATTACCCCATAATTTACTCACCCTCAATCCATCCTAGGTGTATATGACTTTCTTCTTTAAGCCAAACACAATCAGAGTTATTTAATTTAAAAAAACAAATCCTGGCTTTTCCAAGCTTTATGATGTATTTTTTTTTTTTTTTTTGTATATATATGCTTAAAGTTGATGATATAAATAAATATATCTAAGCTGCCTCTGCATTGCATTCAAACATTTATGCATTTTTTATTGAACAAATGTCACCTCAGATAAAGGCTAAATATTAGTTTGACATGGTTTAGAATCCATGTTTCCATTAAGAAAACATTACCTCATACTGTGTGATCAGACCATTGGGCTCCAAAGGCTCCTCCCACTTCAGAAAGATCATGTCGTCCAATGGGGTGAATGTTAAAGACTCGGGTGCAATTCCTCCTGGGACTGCAGGAGAAGAAAGAAAACAATACGGGGGTACGGTCAGCTCCATCTTCCTAAACAGTTTGATGTTCGAGACACACACAGCACTTTTGTTGACCTTTTCACCAACATACGGTGTGGAAGAATATAGGGCAAAAGATAGGAAGTCTGGCTTCCAATAGGCTATTTAGTCTTGTTGAGGAAAGTTAAGAAAAAAATGATTTCCCAATGCAAACAGCTAGAGCAGAATTACTTCTCTTTAAAAATAAATAAATAGATGCATGGAGACAGAAATTATGGGCCCAACCTATAATTAAACCTATAGTTGTTTGTTCTGTGGTACATAGCAATTGTAATTTCTGCACAAAAACATAAATACCGGCAATTTGAAAAACAAATCCCCCCAATGACATGGCATTCATGAAGTGGCATACACAGATATGATTGCAAGACAGATTGTCTATTGGTTTTTTAACATAATTATACCCTGCTAATGGAACTATAAGAATCATTAAGTAGAATTGTAAGAGTACGGTTTTGCCAGCTAGTCACAGATTGCATGACTTGATCAGTTTGTGCATGTTCTAGAAACGTATAGTGTTTCAGATCGTTCTACCTAATGGAGGAAATAAGCTCTAAATTTACACATGAACAGGACAGGCGACGCTGAAACCTCAGGAGAGCAGCAGCTTTGGTTTTCGACAGCCGTAAGACGACGGGCTGCGTTAGAAATCTGTCACGTAACGTCGTAAATAGAAACTCTCACGACGAGGAACCGTTCAAGGAAACGGGGATTAATAACAAATACTCCAAAACAGGATTAACACATTGGCGAGAACCGACCATGAACTGAAAGAGGAATAAACACACTGGGACAGCTTTAATCTGTAATGAAGGACACTATAATCTGAAGCGTCCCGTCCAGGGGTTACAGCGGGATTCGGCAGGTGCGGGAACACTCAAATCTTGTGTAGGTGCAACTGTGAAAAATGACTCACCGTGGGACACCATATTGAGTATTATGGTATAGCAATACTTTTTGGGTCACGATTGTAATGGTTTTATTTTGGCCCATCTACACTGATATAATGGCAATGCTATATTAAAATTGCTTAACACTGGAACAAAAACTGAGCCCTGGCACTGAAGTCATGCCAGCCCACATCACCATCCACAGTCACACACACAGACACGGACATGGGCATTAAAATCTGAGGTTCAGGGCTCCCCCGAGAAAATTTTGATTTCTCTGACCAAATTATGTGCAATTTAAGACTTTTGAAAGCAAAAAAATGAATAATAAATAGCTTTAAAACCATGTCAGTGGGCATTCGATTATTTTGTCAATACCTGCTCTCTCCTCATCTACACTTTGTTTTTCTCAGTCTCCTTATCCTGCCCTATTTCTCCCCTCCTAAACTCCTAAACCCCTGAACTTTGACTGATAGTCTTTAATTTTCGCCTGTGTCAGTGAAGTAAATAGGCTTAACTGATAATTATATGTTTTATGAATCATTATCTTGATTAGCTACCAGGTCAGTATTGCCACCTCTACAAGCTTTGGAATTTGAAAAGTAATTTTAAATAATACAAATTATAGGCTACGTTTAATGCAGTTGGTGGAATTGACAGACGTGGAAACGCGTCAGAGCACTCTCAGGTATAAATATGCAGCATTAATGCAGGTAAATGATTTTAAAAGAATATTTAATGTTGATATACAATGGTTATGTTAAAACTAAACCTGCTATTGATCTCTATGTAAGACCCTATAGAACAGTGGCTATAGGGAAAACAAATGTCAGGCGAAATATTTCGAACCTAAAACTAACTTTAGCACGAGTGTATTTCAAGCATCTGTAATCGCTCACGTTCAGTCGGGAGGAAGGGAAGTTGGTCCATATCAGGAGAAGCGAGATTCGTTGAGATTAATGAATCTATTTATTTATTAATTTATCCGTTCCGGCCCACTTTAACCCCTGGTCCCGCCCCCTATGCTATAAATACCACCTGCCCAAACCGACATTTGATACGTCATGAAGCAATATAGGTTGGGTAATGCTTAAACACTCGAGTTTTATCGCGTTTTCGAACTGTATTTGGTTAAGAATGAAATGGCAAGAATTTATTCAAACCTATAATATTGAATATTGAAACGTATCAGATAGGCTCCATGGTGCTGTCAAGTACAAAGTGCAGTCTGTGAGGTAAACTAATTTAAAAAAGGGGGAGGAGCAATTCAAGATGTCCCAGACTTCATAGAACATCTTAGACTGTTAATGAGATTGGGGAAACACTAGTTGTAAACGAGTAATCGTCCAAAATATTTCGTAAATATATATATATCTAACCAAAAATATATATCTAACCAAAAATCCTGACATTCCATGCATTTTCTATCTCTATAGAGATGCTCGAACAGGCTGAGAGTTTTTATATCCTCATTTCTCATTAACTCTGTCTCTGTCTGCAAGCATGCTGACTACCAGTAATTTAACATTACGTGCAGAATTAATTCATTCATTAACTTCAGTTCTTGATGTTGTTTCCAATTAACCAAACACATCAAACACAAACAAGCTCTATCAGTGTACAAAATATATAAATAAACCGACAGAAAATGATAAATGGAGGGCATTCATTATGAGCCGTGTTCATTTTCCGACGGCGAGGTTTTCACTTGACCTCTGAGAGTTTCATCTTAAACCATTTGCATGAGAATGCACCTCCGGCCTGACACACAATGTAAATAAAAACGCAAATATAAGCAGAAATCTTTATTTCATTTTGCTGGTGGCCTTTTCTTATTCATTTTTCATATACATCCATTTAAAAGTATGATCTTCCATTTAATTATGCTGAAGCGTGGTATTTTGCGAGTCAATATTTGTGTTGTTGCTATAATTGGGCTTTGAGCACTGGGGACCAACTGGGCCCTGGTGCCGTCACCACATCATAATCGCTCAGATAAATACACGCCTTTGCAAAGATGGATGAGTTATGGCTACTGACGTGTGCAAAAAAAAAAGCCCTCTGGATAAATGAAAGTTTAATCAAACTCAGAAAGTTTATGAACAACATGGAGATAAGAAGTGTAATGATGTGATTCTTCATTGGAAGCTGAAAGTACTTTACTGAATGTAGTTTACAAAACAAAAGTCCTTGAAGTGAAAATGATGCACTGTCAATGAAGACAACTAAACTAAAACATCTATGAATGTAGCTGTGCAAGGTCATTTAGTGCTTGATTTAGTCGTGTTAATGCTCCCCCGCATGCTAAAGGGTGCTTTTCATATTTAAAATGCAATGCATGTTACTTAAATGACACAAATTATGACTGTATCTCGGATTACGAGTGTAATGAGAAGGGAACAAGACGCTGCGTCGAGAATCAACACTTTGGGAAACTCCTTCAGCGTTCAGCAATTAATATATGCAGACTACGATATTAACTATCAATTAACTATAAAGTAATATTTGCAAACGATTTGCAAGTATTTTATCACTGGATACCTATTATTAAGTATTACCAAATTTGGATTTCATGGATACAGGCAAAAAAAGGATCAGTACTCACTGTCTTCCTCCGTCTGAAAGGTCACTTCTCGGCTCTCTTTCTTGCCCTCTGGATTGGCCAGCGCCAGCCTCACATGCACGGCGTGGAAAGGTGGTAAATCCCGAAGTGTAAAGCGGGAGGTGTTCCCCTCCACCGACAGACACTCCCTCACCGTGGCGTTATTTCCGCCAGCTCCGCCCCCAGTAGCGGTGGAGTAGCGGTAGCACAGCGACAGCGAGTACGTATGGCAGCGCGTCAGGTTGTATCCCACCGGCTCCCACTGCAGGAGCAGCTGACGGGACTGAATCTCTGAGGCCGTCAAACCTTTCAGGGGACGCATGGGCTCTGGATGAGACAAAAGACGAACTGGATTATGCACACAGTTACGAACACGTCACACTTTCACTCGGATTTGAGTTTGTTGTCAGATGTTGCTAAGCTAATGACACACTTACTCTAAAGCTAGAAAACAAACATAACACATTATATTTATTAACTACTACACTAAACAGAAAGGTTTCAAACATTTATCATTACACATCAATTGTTATTTCAAGTAGCTCTGCCTCCCCCCCTCCTCTCTCTCTCTCTCTCTCTCTTAGTGCTGAGCCAATTAGAGCTGCTATGAGCTAATTACATATGTCATATGTGAAGGCAGGGGTCCTTGTCTCTATTTCCTGTCACTTTAATTCCCTCTCACCAAGTCTGACATGCATTTCTACCCCAGAGAGTGACAGACAGGAGACGAGCCCAGTGAGTCCTGTGTGTGTGTGTGTGTGTGTGTGTGTGTGTGTGTGTGTGTGTGTGCGTGTGTGTGTGAGAGTCGGTAAATACGACACAGCATGTGGCATTGCAGGGTAAGCAGCTCTGCAACAAATGCACAATGAATAATTAACATTTTAAAACTAAAATCACCACCTAGATATGAAAAGAAAGCCCTTTCAAGAACATATCTAGATCATATTTCACTCCAAAGAAAAAAAAAGTAAAAAAAAAAAAAAAATTCCTTAAAGAAAGCGTCTCGGTTCCTGAGTAGGGAATGGAGACGTCTCTTCGGAGGAGATTCCAAAGAATTGTGATCACGCTAGGGAGATCAACTGCCTTCGAGTGAATTAAAACGAGCCAATGAATATTGGCACACATGTGCTTTACGCTGAGGAGCCGGACAGTGACCAGTCCTCCGCGAAGGTACAGCAAGCATGGCGACGGAACGAGACGTCTCCGTTCCCTACTCAGGGAACGAGGGTTCCAATACGTAACCGAGACGTTCTCTTTCGTTAGGGAACTCCCACGTCTCGGAGGAGGAGTTTCCAGCGAATTGGAATCCCTCAGTGTTGTAGGACTCGAGACTCGGACTCGGTCTCGAGACCATATTTTAATGGTCTTGGTCTTGTCATGGACTCGTGTGCATTTGGACTCGGAATTGACTCGTACTCGAACATTTTTTTTTAGGACTCGGAGTCCACTCGAGTTCAATTAAAAATATTTTTCATGATTATTAATGTATGTTAATAAAATATTTCTTTAAATTGATTGACACGCCCAGTGATTGGTGATTTTCTAGAGCGCAACTGCGCATGACAAATTGTAATAAAATTACTTTTAACACCACCTACTATGTGGCCTTTTTACCCTAAACTGATCATAGTTTTTAAAATCTAAGTAAATTCAGTAAAAAAAAAAAAAAAAAGATTTCTCTAAGTAAATAAAAGTAAATTAGGTAATCAACCCTCACTGGTCTCGGTCTCGACTCGGACTCGACCGTCGTCTCTGGTCTCGGTGTCGACTCGGACTCGACTCTCTATGGTCTCGGTGTCGACTCGGACTCGACTCTCTCTGGTCTCGGACTCGACTCTGACTCGACTCTCTCTGGTCTCGGACTCGACTCGGACTCGACTCTCTCTGGTCTCGGACTCGACTCGGACTCGACTCTCTCTGGTCTCGGTCTCGACTCGGACTCGACTCTCTCTGGTCTCGGTGTCGACTCGGACTCGACTCTCTCTGGTCTCGGACTCGACTCGGACTCGACTCTCTCTGGTCTCGGTGTCGACTCTGACTCGACTCTCTCTGGTCTCGGTCTCGACTCGGACTCGACTCTCTCTGGTCTCGGTGTCGACTCGGACTCGACTCTCTATGGTCTCGGACTCGACTCGGACTCGACTCTCTCTGGTCTCGGTGTCGACTCGGACTCGACTCTCTCTGGTCTCGGACTCGACTCGGACTCGACTCTCTCTGGTCTCGGTGTTGACTCGGACTCGACTCTCTCTGGTCTCGGACTCGACTCGGACTCGACTCTCTCTGGTCTCGGACTCGACTCGGACTCGACTCTCTCTGGTCTCGGTGTCGACTCGGACTCGACTCTCTCTGGTCTCGGTGTCGACTCGGACTCGACTCTCTCTGGTCTCGGACTCGACTCGGACTCGACTCTCTCTGGTCTCGGTGTCGACTCGGACTCGACTCTCTCTGGTCTCGGACTCGACTCGGACTCGACTCTCTCTGGTCTCGGTGTCGACTCTGACTCGACTCTCTCTGGTCTCGGTGTCGACTCGGACTCGACTCTCTCTGGTCTCGGACTCGACTCTGACTCGACTCTCTCTGGTCTCGGACTCGACTCGGACTCGACTCTCTCTGGTCTCGGACTCGACTCGGACTCGACTCTCTCTGGTCTCGGTCTCGACTCGGACTCGACTCTCTCTGGTCTCGGTGTCGACTCGGACTCGACTCTCTCTGGTCTCGGACTCGACTCGGACTCGACTCTCTCTGGTCTCGGTGTCGACTCTGACTCGACTCTCTCTGGTCTCGGTGTCGACTCGGACTCGACTCTCTATGGTCTCGGACTCGACTCGGACTCGACTCTCTCTGGTCTCGGTGTCGACTCGGACTCGACTCTCTCTGGTCTCGGACTCGACTCGGACTCGACTCTCTCTGGTCTCGGTGTTGACTCGGACTCGACTCTCTCTGGTCTCGGTGTCGACTCGGACTCGACTCTCTCTGGTCTCGGACTCGACTCGGACTCGACTCTCTCTGGTCTCGGTGTCGACTCTGACTCGACTCTCTCTGGTCTCGGTGTCGACTCGGACTCGACTCTCTATGGTCTCGGACTCGACTCGGACTCGACTCTCTCTGGTCTCGGTGTCGACTCGGACTCGACTCTCTCTGGTCTCGGACTCGACTCGGACTCGACTCTCTCTGGTCTCGGTGTTGACTCGGACTCGACTCTCTCTGGTCTCGGACTCGACTCGGACTCGACTCTCTCTGGTCTCGGACTCGACTCGGACTCGACTCTCTCTGGTCTCGGTGTCGACTCGGACTCGACTCTCTCTGGTCTCGGTGTCGACTCGGACTCGACTCTCTCTGGTCTCGGACTCGACTCGGACTCGACTCTCTCTGGTCTCGGTGTCGACTCGGACTCGACTCTCTCTGGTCTCGGACTCGACTCGGACTCGACTCTCTCTGGTCTCGGTGTCGACTCTGACTCGACTCTCTCTGGTCTCGGTGTCGACTCGGACTCGACTCTCTCTGGTCTCGGTGTCGACTCGGACTCGACTCTCTCTGGTCTCGGTGTCGACTCGGACTCGACCCTCTCTGGTCTCGGACTCGACTCGGACTCGACTCTCTCTGGTCTCGGTGTCGACTCGGACTCGACTCTCTCTGGTCTCGGTGTCGACTCGGACTCGACTCTCTCTGGTCTCGGTGTCGACTCGGACTTGACTCTCTCTGGTCTCGGTCTCGACTCGGACTCGACTCTCTCTGGTCTCGGACTCGACTCGGACTCGACTCTCTCTGGTCTCGGTGTCGACTCGGACTCGAGTGAGGTGGTCTCGACTACAACACTGGAATCCCTAACAACACGCCCCTTCCAGCGCCTAGCCTAGCCTAGCCTCCTGCCAAAGCAGTTTCGTAGTTTTCTTTATAGCGGGACCCATCAGTGGATTTGAATAACACTGGGGAAACGTGCTTTTTTTGTTTTTGGGTGGTGAAATTAGACCCTGATGTTTCTGTGAGACATTTTGTGTTTCCACTCAGAGCCGAGACAGTCGATGCCCAGTCAACCCTGCTGTGAATGCCCACAGACCACCAACAGACCCCCACCTACTGCATGCCCTCCTTCAGAGTCCTCAAGACAAATCAGCCTGATTACACTAATTAATGAGACACATCTACTAAAACTCCCACAGGCCTGATGAGGAATGGCCTAACAGCTGGATATGACACACACACACACACACCAAACAAAGTCACATCCTCTGAGAACTAAAATTTGACCTTGATATAAACTGAGTCTGTTTCAGAGAGAGAAAATCCCCCTGCCAAAAGAGACAGAATCAATGATGAAGACGATGAAAAAAAGAATAATGTGTGCTGGCTTTAGTGTATATTATGTAATATTAATAAGGTAGCCTACTAGTTGACTTTTAATATGTCTGTCACCAGTTAAAGAAGACAAAGGATAATTCAAAAAGGTTTCTTTTTTTAATGAAATATATATGTTAGAAATACACTTCTTGAGGGGAGGGAAAATATATTATAATGCAATGTAAATATGCAAAGTTATAAATATCAAATTAGTTTAAGTAGAAAAACAATCATGAACAGTGGGTCTCATATAATGTGGATATCTGCCAGATTAGCAGCTTGTATGCCGTGTGAAGTTTAGGGACGCTGTTGTTCTGGGTCCGCTACGGACAAACAAGATAAATGGGGTCTCAGAGCACCTTCGACAGTGATGCATTAAAAGGTCCAAAAGCGAGGCTGTAACTGAAGTACATTTATACTACAGTTGGGTCCAGTTTGCCTAAACCCTCACAGGATGACAGAAGAAAACTAAATCTTATTATACAGTACAAGACTACACTTGCTCTGTTTGGGCCAACTTGAAATAAATCAAATGAAAGTGTTCCATTTTTGTGGCGTTACTAAATTTGTGTTAGCGTTGAGCACAAAAATAGCGAGTGTTGCTATGACATTCATCATTAAACCCGATGTCATTGCAGTTTGTACATATTTTATGAGGTGGCCAATTGTACGAATTTGTAATATTTTAGTTAAACCCGTTCATATTTTACAAGTTGCCCAATTTATATGAATTTGTACGAATGACCCACCCCTGTCCCCACCACTAAACCAACCCATCACTGGGTTTGCATAAATCGTACAAATTCGCATGAGTGAGGTTAGATAGATAGATAGATAGATAGATAGATAGATAGATAGATAGATAGATAGATAGATAGATAGATAGATAGATAGATAGATAGATAGATAGATAGATAGATAGATAGATAGATAGATAGATAGATTGATAGATACTTTATTCATCTGTTAAGGAAATTCAAGTTTCCAGTAGCAACAATTAATTAAAAAAAAAAAAAAAAAAAAAGGACAAAAATATAAAAATATATACAAATTAAATTACAGGGATGAGTTAAAAAGCCCTATCGCCTGAGGGACAAAAGACTTCCTCAGTTTGTTGTACTACTGTTTGTTGTTCAGGTTGTACGAATTCGTACAATTGGTCATGAGATAACGTTGGGTGAAGATTATAACAGCTTAAAATCAGCCCTTGAGTTGTCTCAAATACATTTTAATACTATTACTTCTCATTTCACTTTCAAAAATGAATTAAAGCAAGAAGAAAATAGTAGTTAATAAAAAGATGCCATTTTATATAATAATGATTATTTTTGCATAAAGGACCAACTGAGCAGAACATCTAAGTAACAGAAGCATTCAGTAAGGGATAATGTACATCCAGCCGGGGGTTCTCTCAAAACGAGTACATTTCACCAAAATTGAAATAATATGGGGATAAGATAAATTGATTTCAAAATAATTTTTTTAAAATTGTGCAAAAATGAATTTCATCAGTCATAGATTCAGTAAACATGCATCCATCAGCTGTCAGAGATATGAAGCATGAGCAAGCGTACTCGGAGTGGCTGCGTTTACCTGCACACTTGGTTCTGCTGACCAGCGGGGGTCCTGGCGGGCCGGTTCCACCCTCTCCGGGCCGGGTGAGGAGAACGCTGATGCGATACTCTGTGTCGGGTTCCAGATGCCAGACTTTATACGTCAGTGAGTTGACTCCGTGTGTTTCAGACCACGGCGAATGACTGGCCCTGTACACGATCTCTCTGCGGATCACCGGCCCGTCGCCCACGATAGAGTTAGTGTTGAGCTGGATGATCAGATACGTGGGGCCGGAGCGCAGCAGCTGGGGCGGAGCTATCGGGGTGGGCGGGACTACAGAACACGACAGGAGAAGAAGAAAGGAGAGAAGAAGTTTCAATCAGGAATCACCCTTTATTTTGAAATGATAATGGATCTTCAGGTGTTTCTAATCTTCTACAAAAAGGACCAACACAGGGTTTGACTTCAGCACATTTAACTCTTAGGATTGATAGTATCTATCCAACTTATATTATATTACTGTGAATAGATGAGACAAGTTTCTGAACATACTTATAGCAGTTTAGTTTTAATAAAAGCTATTTTTTGACTGTGGAGCAAGTTTTGAAACTGATATATTCATTGCATGTTTAACTCCTTTCTCACCAGATATAAAATAAATGATTTTCTAAATCTTAATCTTAGAGTGGATTATTGGCAGTCAGAATCCTATTATATTTATGAGTTTTGTAATAATAATAATAAATCAAGTGTAAAGGCGAACATAAAAAAGTATAGTTTACTAACAAAATTTTAAATGTTTTTTAAACGCAATTTCACCAAAATATTAGTAATACAAATTTACTGTATTTCAAGATATATACAATATATACAAAGTCATGCAATAATAATAGAGTATAATAAAAACTGTGATTATAATGATGTCTATGTCTTGATGTGGTTAATATATATATATATATATATATATGAAGAGTTCAGATGCAAAAGCCTCTAAGTGCCATTTGAAATTTTCTTCTTTCATGATGATTTTTATCAAACTTGTATATTTAAGTTCAGTAATTTCACTTAAATAACAATTAATAGGTAATTATCATTGCCGTTTAAGTGAAATCACTGAACTTAAATATACAAGCTTGATAAAAATGACCATTCTAGGAGAAAATTTCAAATGGCACTTAGAGGCTTTTGCATCTGAACTCTTCATATATATATATATATATATATATATATATCTTCCCAGAAAGTGTTAATGAAGTGATCTCAGGTGAAAGGAAATGAGAAGCAAATAGGAAAAAAACACATTGTAAGATCAGACAGAAGCAGCTTTTATGCATGAATTCAGTCGGTGACTTTTTTCTTTCTTTTTTTACTCTTATCTGAGTGTGTCACTGTCACATTCGAATGAATTAAACATCTTTCCTGATTGCTTAGTTTCTCTCATCTCTCAGTTTAAATGAATCATCATCATCTCTGTATGAGACACTATCAGTAACGGTATGACTGTGAAACCTTGACTTCCATATAAAGGAATGAATGAAGATGTTAATGGGAGATAAACGCAGATAAACACGCCTGAACACAGAGATCTATTACCAGACGAGCTTCTGATGCGTTTCCAATGAATCTGCACCTCATTCTTGCCAGCCGATTATAGACACACAATCGCACTGGGAATATTTAACCCTACTGGGAAGTGTGGTTAATAGACCCATAATACACCCAGTCGAGGTGGACGAGACGATCAGGTCTTGATCAATCTGTTAATGTATATATTGCGCAATACAAGGTATAACCGGAGGAACATCTTGGCTCGGCAAATCTGGAAAATAGAAATGATGCCAAATTTTGTGTTCAGTATAAAGCTGATCCTAAAAACTCATCATAATTTGAGTTTATTGTAAGTAAAGCATCATGCCAGTATGTCTTTTGAGTAGTGCAGCACATCTGTAATTTGGCCTGTTGCTCTTTTAGCCGTATGTGTGTGTGTGTGTGATAAAATATTAAACTGTGACGTATATACAGCACACTTCAGAAGCTAATAACGAAAGTTAAATAATAAATCCACCCAAACAGAACACACCCACAGCGATTTCTCCGTTTGTCTGGTGGATTTCCAGTGACATTACCTCAGTTCCAGTGGAAACATGACTCATTCACTCTTTCAATCACGCCACCATCCTGAGAGGCACTTGTAGGGAGCAGAATCATTACTGGGGCCATAACGAGGCAGCATGGGGTAATTTGCATGGCTGATTGCACCAGAAATTGTGTTATTTTGGGGTGAGATGTGTCTCTGATTGGTGGTTATGACTGTAATCAGCCCGCCGGTGCTCTCGAGGGCTCTAGTCAAAGAGGTTACAACTTACTCAGGCTTTTGCTGAAGAGATCTCTCGGTGGGGACGTGATGTTACAGACACACACACTCAGGAGTTCAGACGGATCAGAAGAGTCCAGGACGTTCTGTGCTTTCAGAAGATAACCCGGCGACGACAGCAGAGGATAGCGGCCGACTGCTGCCGTGATCTCTGAAATCTTGTTTTATTGCCATTGGCCAAAAGCTTTTCTTTTGTGAAAGTCAGGAATTTATTGTTTCGTTATTCTAGTAGAGAACCTTCAACTGAGGCATCTGACATTGATGAAATATTTCATTTAAAGGGTTAGTAGACCTAAAAATGTAAATTCTGTCATCATTTATATCATATTATATCTGTCATCATTTGCATTGCCAGCTTGTAATGAAACCCTATAGATATTGTCTGACTCTTTAGGTTGGAAGCCTAGATGGATTGGTATGAGAGCCTTTCTTCTGTTCAATGGACTCATTAAATGAATGCTTAATGAAGAAAGAGCCATTAAATGTCAATGTGTCATACGAAGAAAAGAGATGAAATCAAGCCATATGGTCTCACATAGTCAGATCCATAGTTATAATTGCAAACCTTTGAACTCCCATCCATCAGAATGAAGCCTTCAACAGCTCCACGGAGTAGACATATGCAACACATTAGAGTTATTTATAGACACACTTCTCTCCGTACCTCTGACGATGAGTTCTGCGAAGTTAGACACTGCAGCTCCGTATGTGGACTGAGTGAGGCATCGGTACAGGTCCTGCTCCCCGCGCTGGGCTCCGCCCACCTGAAACCATGCAACCAATCGGCGCTCTCCGACTGATGACGTCACGGAGTGTGGCGACATCAAAACACCGTTACGCCTCTGAAAAACAGACAGATATGTGATGCAGAATCTATCATCAGTATATTTACACATGAAAAATAATATCAGATAAAAATGGATATGCAAAACATTATGATTAGTGATTACCACATTTATAGCAGCTGTCTACAATTCTCTTTTCTGGACCCAAGAGCTTATTGTAAATTATTACCGAAAGTCTCTTTTTACACGATGAATTCATTTTTTAATTTTTTTAAAGTGTATATATTTTAATGATTTTAAAGGATATACAGAATTTGGTATGGCAATCATCATTATTAGTATTTCTTAAAGTATGTTCAGTAGTTCTTTTTTCTTTCCTGGTGCATAAAGAGCAAAAAAACACAACTCAATACTCTGGTAAAGAACTGGGATTGATTATGTGCTTAGCTGTAATGATGAAAATAGTTGATTTCCTCCATTGTTTAAACCCAACTATCATCTCTGAAAAGCCTGTAATATAGATGTCAAGTGCCTAAACTAGTGCTGTATTCAGAAAGGGAGATGATGCAGACTTCTCAGAAAGTGAAGGAACACACAGTCCCTTCAGTCCTTTAGGAGTAGATCCCAAAATCACTGAATGACAGAAAGATAGATTTAAACAAAAAAGATAGTTAACCCTACAATCTGGCATCATTAAGTTCCATTTTGTAATTACAATGGCACCACAGATTTATTTTTATTTTTTAAATATCATAAATTCTAATTAGTCCATATATCTACACGAAAAATGTTATAGGATTTCCTTTGGAACAATTTCAATTCAGAAATTACTAGTAAATTAAAAAAATAATTACAAAGAAATAATAAGTAATAAATTGAATTAAATGTTACATAGTATTTATTGTAAAATTTGATCTGTTCCAAGCACAAAGCCAACATATCTGCTTTGAAGATATTTTACAAATATTGATATACTATTATAGTATTCATATTTTGAATTAGCTTTAATTTTATACTTTCAGGTTTAATATGAAGTATAGTAAATGAGTGTTTTTTTAATTCTATGTAGTTTTTTTTTAGTTTTAGTAATTTCAGTTTGTTTAATAATTTATATATAATTTAATTTAAATATATATATATATATATATATATATATATATATATATATAGTTTGATTTAACAAGATCAACACTAGCTTGGAAGACTAGGTGAAAAAGACACGTCCAATTAAGTCTATTAAAAATATACTTAAATATGTTTTTAGTACAATACAAATATAATGTAATGCATTTTTAATACACTGAATTGGACGTCTTTTTCACCTGTGAATAAGTAATATAGAATTTCTTTAGTAAAGATTAAAATATATTTATGGTGTTTCTTTGTCTTGTTTGGAGCAAGGCAGCCCGTGGTCACCATCTTCTTTAATTATAATGCATTTTTTTATTTATTTGCAGTATATTTTAAAAATGTATATTTGTAAATTATGTTATTTATATTATATTAATTTTATATAAAAAAAAATTTAAGTTGGAAAAAATGAGATATTTTACAAAAGGTCTCCTTTAATTCAAAGAACGAAAGAAAGTCATGTGAGTAAATGATTGCAGGATTTAAATTTCTGGGATAACTTTTCTAAAAGCTCAAATATAGTTTAGGACATCTGACAACACACAGTTTGCTGCCTGAAAGTGCACTTTTAACAACCTTAATCTCTCCTGAATTGCTGAAAAGCACCGGAATAAATAAAACACATAAATTAAACTGGGAGCCAAACTTTGTAATGTCAGCACATGATGTTCTGAGCTATTCCTGAGGAAGAGACTCTACTGATGCACACAGACACACAGAAGAGCGAATCTCAGTCCAATGAGGATTTGCTCAAAGACAAACAGAATCAAAACACAAGCTGCAAGTAAAGCATCTGAACAAGATGACAAGAGAGGTTCAATTACTGAACAGGAAAGACTGTCACTTCCTGTTTGCTGCTGCTGCCATGTGATTGGATTTGGAAACATGCGGCACGGTTAGCGATAACTGATATAAGGAAATAAGTGTTTTACCTGCAGTGAAGATTTGTCATTAATTAAAGGCTGGAAGCTGGGAGGAGTGCGAGTCTGATGGGATACGTGTGTGTGTGTGTGTGTGTGTGTGTGTGTGTAAACGTGTAAAGGTGCTAATCTCAATTTTTGCAAAAGTAGAGGAACAATTAAAGCGAGGAAATTAAAATGTTCACATCATTTTTTGTCATTTGCATGTGCCGTCTTGCGTGTTAGAAAGAGATTTTCCACAAGACTTGATTTCACATCATAAAAAGTGAGTTCTCAACACAAAGGTTGGGCCAAATAAACAGTTTAGATTCAGCTTGATAGAGTCAAGAGATGTGTTGATTAAAATGTGCTTATATGTTAAGCATTACTTTCAGGGATAGATTTAAAACGTAATCAAATTAAAAACACATATGCAGTGGAAAAGAAGTTCACTAGGTTCAGCGCATGAGGAGCAGAGCTTGTTGGCCTCGAGTTTGAAAGAGGTTTTCCAATTGGATTTACATACAAAACGACCCGTGCATTGAAAAGAAACGGGGAAAAAAGGAATTTAAGAAAACAAAAGTCTTCCAAACCAAAGCCCGGGGACTCACATCCGGTGCTAAAAACTCAAAATGGAAAAGGACCTTCAGCAACTTTAATCCCCCAGAAAGGGTTTGAGATCAACTCATCCAGCCAATGACGGAGCGAGAGCTGTGTGTTACTGTAGATCAAGCCCAGATCCACTGCCTGGAGAGACACAGATTATATGCTCGGAAAAAGAAAATGTAAAGTTTGTAGAGGTTCAGTAAAGAGAAAACTGTCATTAAAACAATATGAGAGGTCAATGTTTTCGGTTAGAAGCTTCGTAAACCAAATGGCTGATAATTCATTAAGGCGCTTTTCTTGAATTTGCCACTTGTCATACACATTTTATTGTTATAACAAAGACAAAACATGTGTGACACTTTGAGATCTATATGTACGAAATCCAACTTTAAGCAGATTTTAAGCAACTTTAAGTCTTTCTCTTCTGGAAAATGTGGCACTAGATTTTTTGCCCAGTCAAATTTCAAGTTGCATTTGGGACTTCTAAATTATCAACATGAAACTTTGCTGAAAATCCACATTTCAGCTTTTAAAAAACATCTTTTTTAATATATAAACATTAAACAATAATTCAAAATGTTAAACAATAATAACAATAAATCTTTATTTATAATTATTATTTTCCTTTGCATATGAATTTTGTGTTATGTCAGGACAATCATCCAATATATAACAGCTTCTTAGAGAATGTGGAAGTTAAAAAGAAAATTCTCAGAGGTTGAAAATCATTAAAAAAATACTTTTACCATGCATGCAAATCTGAAGAGATGATCAAGAACAGAAAATACTTGCCTGACCCGGGAGACCCGAAATATTTAGATAGACATGTAAAGTATTTGAATATTTGCATGATTCAGTATATTAGTTGATATTCCTCTTGTCTGATCTCTGAGAGACAGAAACGTGTGGCGGGCGGCTGCGTCGCATTATCTGTGTGTTTGCAACGAATTCTGTTTTCCGAGATGCAGAGATATACACATGTTAAGTACAATTGCATTTTATCCCGAATGCTCCTATGGAAGGCTGCTTCCGCCACTGAATTAAACAATTAAAAATAATTGCGACTACACAATTCTTTTTTTTTTTTTTTTTTTTTTAAATTTGCAAAATTTGTAGAAAAAAGTCAGAATTGCGAGATAAATATTTGCAATTATATTTTAATTAGTTTTATTCCGTGCTTCCACATGTTCCATTACATTTTGAAAGGAAAATGAATATTTTTCCCTGATATATTTCCCCTAGACATTTGTGTTACTTTGTGACTGCAAACCACATCATATAATACAGCTATTTTTGGTGAAAATTATCATCTTATCACAAATGTGTAGCAATTTTGGGTTGAGCTTTGTTGATGACCAACACTGCAAAATATTTCTTAAAATTAAAATATACAATTATATATTTTGAAATCTTTATCTTAAAACAACAGAAAAGGTGCCAAAGTGGATTTGAATCTAATGCAATTTTCGGTAAAACTTTACTTGAAGGGGATGAGACTAACATGACACATGAATATGAATATGAAGGAGGTTTATGCATGTTTGTGACATCTGTCATTAAGTGTCTTTCGCTCAGTTATGACATTTTTAATGCAAATATGAGATGTCTTTGTCAACATCATAACCTGTCAGTGTCTTTATCATGACAACTGGACATTACTAACACAACACAACCTGTCATAAACATGCCATAGCAGATTAATGATCAAACTTAAGAAGCTTTATTGGTTAACATTACATTAAACTGTCAAGTGGCAGGATTTGACATTGGCTGTCATGAAGCATTATAACTTTTTAATGACAAATTCAGTTAGTACCACTGTAAAAATATTCATGACACAGTTATAATGCCTCATGACAGCCAATGACAAAGCCGACCACAGAGAGATTAACTTCATTTAATGTCAAGATGTCATTATAAAGACACTGGCAGGTTATGATGTTGACAAAGACATCTCAAACAATCTCATATTTGCATTAAAAATGTCATTATTGAGCGAAAGACGCTTAATGACAGTTGTCATTAACATGCATAAACCTCCTTCATATTCATATGTCATGATTATGAAGGTCTTACAGTAAAGTGTTACCCAATGTTCTTCCCAAGCATACTAATTTTGTTTTAAAGATGTTTACATATTTTACAAAAACAAAAAGGCTAATATTTTTGGTAAAATATTTTACTTGACTCACTGTTATTCAAGTATGACTTTTGTATATTGTATATTTGTAACACTGCACATAATACAGAGATAAATTACATGTAATAATAAAATAAGTCCAACTCTCCTCTACAAATTAAATAGGGGCCAGGAAGTGCAATTAATTAAAAAGGAAGTGCTCTGAATTTTAATGAGTTTTTCTTTTTCTTTTCTGAAGGTCACATGTGTCCGACTTCCAGCAGTTTAAAGTCCCAAATATAGTTTTTCTAAGTTTGCTGCTTCATTAAGCAACAGCACCTCGCTATGACAATTCAGCAACACTTTAGATTACAGTCCAATTCTTACTTTTAACTAGTTGCTCATTAGCATGCATGTTACTAGGATATTGGCTGTTTGTTAGTTTATATTCTGCATGAACATATTCTAATCCAACCCAGTTCCTGCCCTAACATTAACAACTAACAAGCAATTATTAGGAGATTATTGAGGCAGAATTCATATTGGACTAAACACACACACACACACACTAACCTCCATGAGGAAGGGATCAGTCTTAGCCGATCGTCCCGTCGCCACACACTGAAACGTGGCGTTCTGCCCCGCGTTCACCTCTACGTCCCCGAGTCTGGAGAAATGAGGCACTTTATCTGTGGAAAAACACAAGCAACGTTTCAAACATTACTATATTATCCAATTAATATATTTGTATTTTTAATGCACATAATAATTTAATGTGTGTGTATTTCAATATTCTGATCTTAACCGACAGTGCACGTTCCCTGTGTGTTACTTCTTAAATCTTTTTGGCCCGCGCAATCTTTCAATAAGGTGCAAAATAAAAATGATTTCTTCTGTTTCCCCGTGTGTTATCCAGTCCATTCATATCACTTATCTCTAAGAGTCATGTTGTGTCTTCTTGCCCACGGATCGCCTCATTTGTTCTTATGTGCCTGTGCTCGTCTGCTCAGCATCAAATCATTCCTCGATATCAAGAGCACCGCTGCCATAACATACTGCACTTCTGCCAGCTTTATTATCCGTCACAGTGAGTCTGAGCCCATGCAAAACAAAGGAGACGGCCAGACACGAGGTAGACGTTCAATCCCTAAAAGCCTTCCATATTTTTCAGAGTATAATAATGAAAAGTCTCCAAGCGTTGAACGCTTAAACCACCATCTAAAAAAACAATTCTTTAGCTTTTACTTACGTAAAGACAGGTTCTTGAAAAGCACTTTCTGTTCACATTCACACAATGCATCTCTTCAGGGGCCTTCCAGCTAATCTATAATTGCATCCGTCTGCTAACATGCCACTAATATCAGAAGTTCATACGGTTTAATGATGGCGGTCGCATGGCAATGACTTATAAAAGCCAGATGCGAATGGATTCAGTGAAATCTCAGTTTGTGAGCGAGGCTGTTTTACTGACTCTAATAACTTATAATGTGAAGCAAGATGTTGGTGGCTTAACTGCCATGTATTGGTTGCACTGATCATTCCCTGTTATTGGATATAAGAGTAAAATAACATTCATGTTAACCATGACTATTAAGTCTAGTGCCAAACAAACATGATGGCAGCAATTTTCAGAGTGTTTCCACACCGCCGATACAGAACTTCAGCTCCAATATTACAAAACATGCCATTCTGTAAACTATGTGCCGTAACAACGGTCCAATTTGAATTGAAATCACAAAAATATTGCAAACCATAACAATGTACCCCATGTGTTTTGTTGTTGTAGATAATATTTTGGAAAAATTGAGACACTTACAATGTGTTCAAAATGTCCAACACTGAAGAAAATAACATCATATTATTGTAATCACATGGTGTTGTGTTAAAGCTTCTTTTTTTCATGGCGTAAGTATAAAAATAATTTTAAGTTTAATTAAGTTTAATAAAAAAAAATTAAATTTTTAATTTTAGAAATACATTTAACTAGTAGATTTTATTTCGAAAAGCGAAACCCATGTGCTTAAAAAATGGACATCGCAAAATCTTTTATATAATTTCATCTCTGTTAGGTCTCTACACGATTCTCTCTAATAAAGGTATAAAAAAGGCCAAAAATATAAATGTCTTTTTTTTTAAGTTAATCAAAATGAAACAGAATACATTTTTACTTTTCCATGATAAAATAATTTTTCTGAAGAACACTGCAGTACCAGTCCGACATTGTACTGTATGAAACACTCCCTCTCTTTAACAAACACACACTATCAACATATTCTTTTAATGTCAGTATTGACATTCTTACGGTTTCAAGGTAAAACTTATCTCCAATTTGTTTACATGAACCTGAACTTTTATTTGAGGCTGAATAGTTGTTCAGACATTCAGACTCACACACACTGTCTAGCCAATTTAGAAAATATCCGTAAAGCAAACAAGGGAAATGTATTGCAGACAGAGGATTCCAGCGGCATCATCTAGAGGAACTGAGCAGAAACCTCACAGTGCTGCCTTGGGCAAGAGCACAGGATTCTGGGTAAACACAATGGCCTGTTTTTGTCACAATGTCTCTATAGTTCACTGACGTCCTGAATCTGGCCACTGATCAGTCAATCTGAAACTGCTCAATGAAATCCTCCCATAATCCTTATTCTTATGCTTAAAAACATGTTTTATATCATTTCAACAACATTGCTGGACCAAAATCATCATTGGAAGAATGTCTCACCATCCTTTCCAGGTGATTAATCACTGTGCATTGGCACAATTGTGTTTTAGAACTGAAATGTTGTTTACATATGAACAATGATGTACTCTAATATAACCTAATCTAATTAAATATTCACTAATTTGCACACAGAACATAAACATGAACTCTGGAATAAGCCAGGTTCGATTTTTATCTTCATAGTTGATATTTAGGGACTCAGTTTTTTATTATCAGGCACAATGTTATCTGTGGCTTCTGCACGCGTGTGTATTCCCGTGACAGATTTTACGACATTATAGAAGATAATACTGTTTCCCAACTGTAGGGGGAGCCCGAGAGCAACTTTTCAAAAATGTCATAATGGGGCTTTAACGACAATGTTGTTGGTTTTTTTTAGTTTTAGCTTTTTCGTTAGTTAGTTTTCATTAAAGGTTATAACCTTGGTTGCAACTGACTTTTGTCCCAAAAAAATCATCAATTGTGTGGTTTCATTGCGATTATTTTATTGTCCCGGAGGATTTGGAGCCTCTCCGACTCACGATCGCCTGCCTTTGACGGGATACACACAACAGCTAATGAGAGTGAACAAGCTTCACCGACTGGAGGTTACGTGCTTTAGTTCTGTGTGGTTAAGATCTGAATATTGTCCTATTTTAACGATCTGAAACGCAAGCGCAAAGCACAAGTAACCTTGTGGGCGGATCTCAGCGCTGTTGCTATTTTCCCGGCGGGATCAATGCCTCTTGCGCCTGGCGCAAATCTAAGGGACGGTTCACATATCGCGTCTTTTGCGCGCTCAAGTTCGTTATTTCAAATGTAGGCGCGCGGTATGTGCGCTCATAATGGAAGCGATGCGGTCGCGGTGCCACGCGCTGGTTTTTTCCATGCACGTCCGCGGCGCGTCCAGATAAAAACATCTCAACTTTTCAGAATACCGCCAGCGCACCATACGCACACAATAGGTCATGTGACAAGATCCAACTGAAGCGCAACCGCCCTGGCGCTTTGGAAAATGGAGAATGTGGCGCGCCCAGCGTTTTCTATGCGTTTTTAGGTGCTATATGTGAATCCGGTCTAATATAGCTTCATTATTCATAGGTGTGGTTTGGGCGAAACGGAAATAAACCAATCAGAGCGTCATATCTCATTCCCTTTAAGAGCGCGATGAACGAGGTGCGCTTGTTCCATGGAGCAATACTGTTATAACGGCGCATTTACCGGACGCACTTCAGCATCGGTTCACAGCCGAGGAGATCGATGTTCTCGTCACGGCCGTAAAAGAAAGAGACGGACATTGGGGACGGGACAAACACACCCAAATTAGCTTCGGTTAAACATGCATATAATAATTTGGGTAAATGTGTCAGTTTTATGCCTATTTTTCCCATCGTCATGGACACAACAATTATTTCCCTCATGTTTATATATTTTTTTTTATAATAATGTATCATTTGCAAAAAGTAAAATGCATCCGTGTAGATGAGAGAATCTTCAGTGTATGCGCGCTGTTATTATGGCCAAGCAGGCGCGCTTAAAATAGCATCTGAAGAGTTTAGACCAGATTTTTTCTGGTCATTGGCGCAATTGTTTTTCTGGAAGTGTAAAATAGCACCAGGGATTGTTTGCGCCGACACACGCCTCCTTTTTGCGCCGATCCGCCCAGCGAGCGCAAGTTCATTTCCTAGTTTACCGACGTGCGTCTGTGGAGGAAAATATCCGCTTTGCGCGCGTGCAAAATAGGAATGATGAATGCATCAGTGAATAAAGTCATTTGCGCCGGGTGAAAGATGTGTGTTCCAGGTTTAGTCAAGCAAATTCAAGGATTTGACAGATTTTGTTTGGTGAAAACACACGTGGAGGAAACACAACCAGAAGCAAACGCTAGACTGTTATCCGAGTGTGAACCCCTAAGGTGGTCGGGCTGTCTGATGGTGTATGAGACTGCCAACACAGCCTTTCTGGATGTGTGTGTGTGAAGAGAGATCTGTTGGGAGGAGGACCTTCAGCAGAGTACTACATCGATCTGGTGTTTTTGGGAAACCTGTCTCCATGGTGACAGTCTCTTTACCCTGACCCTGGGACAGTTCTTCACTCCATTGTCATTCAAGTCGACAAATGCTTGTTGCTTGAGGCTTTTCTTCTTCTGTCTCTGTTTTGTGTGTTGTTGCAGTGAGGGACTCGGAGAGAAACAGAGGTTTTTGAACAGACACTACGGCTGATTAGCTTTTCTCAAAAATTAGTTTTTATTGCTAGTTGTATTTTAAATTATTGTTTGATTACACTTTATTTGTAGGTGTCCTTGCTACAATGTAATTATATATTTACATATAAGTACCCCTATAAGGTGGGTTAGGAATAGGGTTTGGTTGAGGTTTACTTCGTTGTATTTATGCATAATTTATAGTTATTACCACAGAAAATACATATAACATAGGTGACAAGGACACTGTAAAATAAAGTACGTTATAAAATTGTTTTTTTTATTAATAACTGCAGAATAATAAAGTGCATAAACTAGTTGATTAGTTGTAAACATGAATACTTGCAAGCAAGCAAGCCACTTAATGTCATGTCAGGGAATAAAGTGATCAGTTAGCAATTTATGTCAGGTTCCCAGAGAGGGTCAGCAGTTCTTGCCGTGTTTTCAGTTGGTCTCCATCAGCAATGTGTAAATTTAGCAAACTGAGCATCATCTGCCTTCTCTAAAGTTCACAGTTACTGTACTACACACACCAACAGTGCGCAATACAGAAAATTGCGATAGTAAATATATATCAGTGTTTTTAAATATATTAATGTAACTTCTCATGTAAAATAAAATGCTGAAAGCGTGGCCATCTGTTATTATCAGTGCATTTATATCTAAATGGTCTGATTTCATCCTGGTATGCTTTAGCTATCATTTTAATGTTTGTTGATTGTTTTATTTTCCGGATATTTGATCAAAATAACACAAATTATTTGATATAGAATAATGTATATAAAAGTAAAGTCTTTACTGTCATGTATTGTTCCTGAATACGAGTTTCCCAGAACGCCAGACTCCTGTGGAAGTGAAATCACTCAGAGCCTCGTCTACTCTATTGAAATCTGGGCAGAAGGCAATGATTTTAGTGCCATCACAGTCTCCAGGAAAGTACTTCTAATGTGTAGGAAAAAAAATGTACAGCAAGAAAGTCAATTGTAAGATTCTTGAGCATTTCAGAGTCTCTGTGTGTGTTTTCTTTCTTTTTTTGCCAAATGCAGTGATCAGCTTTTATCAGCCTAAAACAGCATTCTGAACAGAGAGCTTTTAAACTGTCTAGGGCTGCATTTCCCAAAAGCACCGTGAGCCCAAATTGATGGTTAAAACCATTGCTACCAACGTTCTCCACGGTCAACTTACTCACGATACTCACTTAATGTACTGACGAAACCAGAAAATTAATTAACTTTCATTTCAAAAGATTTGTGGGATGGTAATGCGCCCAAGTGTGCTTGTTCAAATCATTAACCCTAAATATAAGTAATAGTAGTAGCAGGGTTTTTCCACTTATGAGCAAAGTTTTGTTAAATTATCGCCACAATGTGTGGAGCGTCTCTGCACTCATGCAGAACAAATTACCCCACTAAATATATAAAAAAGTTCAACACTGGGCTTACAAACTTGGGCAAAAAGACTTCTGTGTGTGTGTTTCTGGAGCATTTGCAATAACGTTCTTGCTGTGGGGTGTAAGATTGAAACGCAGGAGGCCTACAGTCAGCTCCATCAAATTAAAGCAGCCCACAAACCGAGCAAACAGCACAATCCCCATCCGCATACACACAATCTCTTTTCTCCAGCATTCCTGTCAGCATGACTGCACTGCATTTCCCAGAAGTCAGCAGGTAGTGAGACCCACAGTGGGTTGTGGCTTCCAGCGCCCCAGTCCAAACTACTGGAGCAGAATTATAAGGTGCCCACTAACACACCGAGTCCCCGCAGAGCTAATGCAGTGGAGGTCAGCGGGCGAGCGAGGACATGGGAGAAGAAGATGGACACAGGAGATCCACTCTTACTCACACCTGAGTGAAGCAACAGATTACACAGCAGAGACACAGGCCTCAAAAGCCAAAGAGACGAGCCCTTTTCTTTCTTCTCCCCCACACAATAAATAAATCTGAGATGGTGACCGCTGGGACAGAGAGATGGAGTGATATATGGACAAAAAGGTCAGCCGCAGGAGGTGGATGTGAGCAAGGAAGGCAAAGTGTCAGTGGATAATTGTCTTTCATGATGGCTATTCAGATCAAAAGTAAGAACCCCGAGACCCTGATGAGAGAAAACGGCCGCCTTTGTTCCTCAATCTGGGAGGGCCAAGCTAGTCATGCTGGAAAAGGTCAGAGACAATGTGCTGTGGAGGGACAGAACTTACAGCAGGGGTAGTTTAACAGCACTATATCATCCAGGGCGATGTATCCCGTCGGCTCGGAGGAGACCGTGGCTTCAAAAACGATCTGCAAGGAAAGGCATGAGAAAGTCAGTTGCAAAGCAGCACAAAATTATTTTTACAGTTACTGTAGCCATGTTTGCATCGACACGTTTTTATCTGAATTAAGTGATATCGAATGAAAAATGCCTCATGGAAACAGTAAAATTCGATGAAATTTCATGAAAATCGACTCAAATGAAATACGTTCGGTCTCATCGGATTTTATCTTGATCGATATACGGCTAATGCGATGAAAGCTGATGGAAACGGTATAAATAATGAATTGCGATTAAGTTTTAGGCCCTTTTATGGTTGCAACACGTCAGAAGACGAGTTTATTTCCGGCCAGTCTGTTTGCGCACACATGGCGGATGACGTCAACAAAGACAGATGGAAGTGGACAAAGCAAAAAGATGCTTCAACCAAAGGGTTTCCGTGAACCACGATCTCCCAGAACTGATGGAGCGCTCGTTCCCAAACCACAGTCACCTCCGCTGTCGTCGGGCATCATCATAGCAATGTTTATAGCGTCGCTGTTTTCGTAGGTTAGTTTTGCTTGTTTTTATGTGGCTCGGTTGAATTGTAATGTAGAATGTGGTCTGTTATTTCTTATTAACAGACTGCGGCGCTGCTAGTATAACACACCGTCCCATGGACGCAGTTCAGAGACGGAACAGACTATTTTCTTTAGCAGAAGCAATACTCGTTTTTAAATCAATAAACTCGTTTTTAAGTCAATATTTTGAGTCAAATTATTTATTTATTTATTTGGTTGATTTTATGTAATAAGCAGGATAGCGAATACAACCCCTTTATAGCGAATACAACCCCTTCAACAATCGCCTCGCATACATTATCCCATTCATATGTCACTATATCAGCTGGCACATAAGCATTATTAGCCTTTAACTTGTGAAATATTGATCATTTGTTGGTAGATGGCGCGATCCGTTTTTTCTAACAAAACTTTGTTCGCAAAAGTTTGCTTGAATGTTGTTCGATTCAGTGCAAAAATGTCTGAAAATGTCTCAAATCAATTCGATATAGCAATTTGATCGCAAAACAGCATGTGACGTCATTACGTACGGGTTTTTATTCGCTTTAAAGCCGTTGGATGGAAACACACTTTCACCAGCTTTATCCGCATGAGTTTAACCGAACTAATTCGATTGACAAGTGGATGGAAACATGGCTAGTGACGTTTTAAATCAACTTTATAGAATTTACATCTAAAACAATTATAATGTGAACAAGACAAACGTCTTGATATGCATCATCTGAAGAATGTTTTGAGGTGAAATAATTGCTAAGTTGGTTGCATGACTTAGAATGGTATGATAACGACAGCTGTACTATAATGACTAGAATAGAAGATCCCTGTGATTGTTATTCCAGCAGATGTTCCCATATCACACAATCATGTCTCTCGCACTGAAGCATGTGAATGAGCAAAGTGCTTTTTCCTTTCAATTTGTTCTGCTTTTTCATGTTATTCTTGATGTAAACAGGCCTGCACATGTCCTTGTGTGAGTGATTGAACTCTGGCTTTTATGTTTCAAACGGATTCATTATTCAATGCTCTCTCAATCAACAACACAACTTTGTCTAACTCAGATATTTGATGATGCAGTTCAGCCTACCCACAGGCAGCATTTGCTCATCTAAAACGTTCTCGGAGCTAAAGGCAACATGATTCAGCACAACAATCTCCCTGTTTTGAACTACGGATGATTTGACTGGAGTCTGAGGATACAGAGCTTGATGATCTCTAGTGGCCAATTACAGCACAAGTACCCCACATCCCTCACCTATTTACACAACCTTTAGCCATTCTGCTAGGAAAGGGAAGACTGCCTTGTTGGACAAGCACAGATATCTGATAGATGTCCTACCGCTCTGAATCAAACTACAAATGAGCTAGCGCTGCTAACAGCCAGCCAATCACAGCAGAGCTGCGGGTCCTGACAGTGCACTGGGGTCTCGGCGCACACCGGCCTTATCTCCGGAAACATGTTTGCTAAAGCAAGCAGAAATATCACTACTGCTCACATGTAGAGTTTTGAACCCTAACCCCTTTAAGTATTAAACTTCAGGATCGCTCACACTCGCAGCCTGGAAACACTCAAACTCTGGCAGTCACACTTCTTTAGAGAAAAATACATTTATTATTATTATTATTCTTTGGAGAACAGAGCGGAGAGAATAAATCTGGACTATAGAGCGGAGGAGACTCATTTCAGGCTGAGGGAGAGAAAAATAATGGCCAACGTTAAAATAAAGACCAAACTTACATTAGAAGTGTGTAGGACATGCTGCATTCAACCATTTCTAAAGGTAAATAAACATGATAGACTTAGTTCAACATGTTTGTGCGAAAACTATCCAATTAATCGAACTCCTGCTGGAACAACTTCAACCTTTCATAAAAACGATCATAACAAGGGGAGTGGTATATTATTTCCTTTTACTCAAAAGTACTAGGGGAGCGCGGGGCACAACCTAACGCGGGGTTAAATGTAACATGGACCGTTTACATAGTTCGTCAGGATCAAGCCGGTTGTCTTTCCGCTATTTTTCTCTCGCTGCCAGAAGACGTTCTCCCGCGAATTTGCAGAAAGTTTTGATAATATTTCGTGAAGATACTGGACAAGTGTTTTGACACCATGAAAGTCTTTTTGTTTTCATCATAGGTTTTTTTTTCCGGTTTCTGAGTTGGGTGTTTACGTTTCCAAATCTAACTTTATATTGCCTTAATCACTGTTTTGTTGGCTCAAAAATAGCACCGTTTTGAAACATGTCAGTAATTCCTATTGCAACTGTTAGCTAGGGTTAAAATATGTAATACACAGCGGGGTTAGTACCAACACAGTGTTACAAACAAGCCGCCAAGTGTACAATGATAATCAAATGAAAACAGGGAGACGCACAACTTTTCAGGTTTGAGTATACACTTAACTTTTAAGAATTTAAAATTTAAAATTTGGAATTTAAAATGTTTAAAATTTAGTGCACTATGAATGATAACTTGTTTATTTATTAAAAATATGGCCTGTTTTTAATGCAATAAACCCTTTAAATTTTTATTTTAAGCTCATTTATATTATTATTACTGTTGTTATTATTATTTATAATAATAATTGGACATGCAGCTGCCACACACAAATCTAATTTAATTGCAATTACAATATTTATAGTTTTATTTATTATTATTATTTATTGCAAAACTATGCAGCCCTTTCTATATCTCTATCCATGATATTGATCCACAATAGAAGGATGATTGGATGAGGGATGGATGTATGGATATCTGTCTATACAGATGCACAAACAATATCAAACTATACAAATAAAATAGTCCTGAATTATGTGTGTTACACACAAGTGTTACAACTAACCCCTCTGTCTGTTACAATTAACCCCGCATATGGGCTAAGCTGTAACATTTGCACTTCTGTCACTTTCAGTGCAACTGTACGAAAATGGTAGGACCTAGAAAAAAACTTCAAGTGTTCATTTGTAGCAGAGATGTGTATGTTGCTTGTGTAAAAAAAGTATTAATCTAACCTAATTATTTTTTAATTAATTTAGCCAAAACCAAAATGCGTTAGGTTGTGCCCCGCTCTCCCCTACACAAAAACAGCACAGTCACCAAAGATAGCGTGATGAAATTATAAGGGCAACTACATTTGTCAGGCACCTGCAAACATAACAAATCTGTTTATGACTCTTTGTTTAAAACTCAAAAAAACAAACGAAAAATAAATAACAGAGATACTCAACAGTCCTGACTCAGTCCTTTTCTGCTTCGGGGTAGGTATAGCAATCCAAAATCTGGATGTCCCCAAAAAGAGAAAAAGAATAAATCCACTGAAGGTTATCCTCCAGTCCCCAAAAGTATCGTCCACCACGTATATCCCAGAACATGCCCATATGAGACGGCTCCAACGTCTAATAGACCATGTCTCTATTCCCAGAGGTCATTTCGGACAATTTTCTCTGAGCTAGGTTAGCCAAAAAACCATGCCACCTCACCAAACAACCATCTTTCAAAATGGCCCCCTTTTACCCAAGGCTCAACATAATAAGAGTCCTAAGATTCCAACAAAAGTCCCCCCAACCAAAAACAAGCATAAACTAATGCTCAAATTTAAAAAAATAAATAAATAAAAGACCAGAGTGTGTTGAGACTAATAAGACAAGACCAAGACTTTGAGGGGTTGAGACTAAGAGGAAGGGTGAGACGAGTTAAGAGCAAGATCACACAAATTAATCTGAAAGATCCACATTTACTTCCTGAGAACTGTCTTATCTAATCAATAAATAAAATTAGAAAAATAAACATGCAATCAAATGAAATCAATAGCAACAAAATTTGAAGCTGCATCTGGATAGGTACAAATACAACTGCATATGAACTATTGAGCTATTTCTTAACCCATTTCCCCTGTATGGAGCCGGTCAAGTCGACTCAATTGGATTCAACACAATTCCTCAAAAATCACAAGATGAAAAACAACAAAGATTTAGATACAAAGTGTAAACTTTTAATATCAACATTTGTCAAACATTACAAAACAATATATCTGAAAATATGGTTCATGAAAATGATTTGGGGAAAAAAATACCAGCATTGTAAATATTTGATAAAGTCTGCTTGTCGTCTCCAACACCGACAGCACAGGCATCAGCACAATGAAGATCTGCAGCTCATAGTAAATGTCAACTATTAATCTCACCGTATTCAACCCACCAAATGACTTTCAACAAGATAGAGATCAAAATACCGCAGGCTGGAAACAATTGCTTGTTGGCATAAAAGCCGAAGCATCTCTCTTACACCAGAGGGACGCCACGTACAGATCCATTTTATCAGGGCAAGCTCAGGAGCGCAAACACAAATAAAAGAAAAGGACCTTTTCATATCCAGGAAATGTTGACAATGCGACTCACGTCTCGCACAAACCCCTGGGGAATCTCCAAAAGCACTCGTGCATCTCAACATGAATTGGACTGGAAAAACCCAAA